AATTTAAAATATAGTTTTTTGTTAAAAGTATATCCAAAAAGTATAAGTATGCAGAAGTATACATTAAAGGGAACCAGAATAACCGACATAGCCCTAAGAATTGCAATACTTAAGCGGCAATGGTCTGCCCATTGCTTGCAGAATAGATGGCCGATGCGGCTGAAGAATTCTCGAGTGGCGACTGTGGGCAGACCACCCACACGGTGGACTGATGTTCTAATGAAATCTGCCGGAACCCGCTGAATGCTAGCGGCGCAGGACAGGTCGGTGTGGTATTCTTTGGGGAGGCTATGTTTTGCAGTGGACGTCTTTTGGCTGAAATAATAATGATGAATGACGACGTTAAAAGTAGATTAAAGTTATTAATTTAAATCGACAGGACTTCAAAATCTATTAAACATTTAACTATCCTGTATACCAGCGTCATTGATAGGCATAAATCTAGCTTTGCTTGTGTAATCTACAATTCTCCATAGAAAGCAATACATAAACGTCGTACAGTGCAATTTACAATTCATTTAAATTAGCATTCTATTGCCAACAGCGGAATGCGGTGACTTCGTCCCCGAAGACTACCCGGACCATACGTACTTGAGCGGATACAAGTTCTTTCCCGGACAAGATTCGGAATCGGAACGGCGGATAATGGAAAATCATAAAAAACACATGTAAGTGTGACCCACTAATCAGCTTCTGATTTCCTAGTAGTACCTTCACTGAAGGTGGCTTACAATAATAATAATAACGCACTCACCCATAGCCCTCGCATTAGGGAAAGCCTGTATCACGGGTGCCATGGAGACGCATAGACAACCATAAATTATACCCAACCTCTCGAGAGAAATAAATATATGCCTTACAAATATTTCTCCCGGTCCGGGGGATCTATACCGGGACCTCTGGGTGGCAGTCTAGCATGGTAATCATTTGGGGCTTTATGTACATGTCAATGTTTAGTAAATTGTCGTATTGTCACATTTAAATAAGTAAAGGGGCATCTTGTTGGTATGCAGGGAGGAAGTGGGTAGGCCAGTGATTGTATTAACATTGCACTTGGTTTTTTCATGTTTGGTTTCCACTTTCCATTTAACATCAGGTGGAGTAGAGCTACCTGCCTGTCACGTATTAAAAAAAAAATGATCCGAAACAATTTAAAACACTTTGTTGACCATTGAAGACGATTTTTTCACATTTTGTTTAAATACAAAGACAAAGTTAGTTTAAAAATTACGTCGCACAATAATAGTAGCAGTTAGTTTACTTCCAATCACAACTCCATTGTTTCGAACTACGGTGTGAGTTCAGGAATTCCTGTCTATTGTACGGAAACTGAATTGCTGGAATGTTTCAAATTTTGATATAAGAGTTGTTGTTGTAGAGGTCAGAGTCCTGCGGAAGCCGATTTGAACCTGCTGGAGACTGCGCGGAGATGTGAATTGTATGGTAAGTTTTCCAACCCTGTAAAGATTGTTTTTTTGCAAGTTTGTTTAATTTGTTCGATTTAGTATAATAAATTGTATTACATTGATGACGCCACCGATTTGTTAATGAAAAAAATAAACAAAACAATATTTTCAAAGATATTTTTATTATTATATATATTTATATATATTATTTGCTATATTTGTTTTCATTTCAAAAAATAAATACAAAGTACTGTTAACTTTACTGTTGTCAGTGCTTTCATTAGTAGCGATATGTAGTATATGAAACAAAAACAATGAAACTTTATGGACATTTAACTTTATAGGAAATGAAACTATTTTTCCGGATTTAAATCGTGTATATTTGTTTTTTCAAACAAACCAGATGTTTCGGGCCCTTTACAGGGCCCATGGTCACGGTTGACTGTCAACCGTCATTTTTTCAGTCTTCAGTTTCATTTCCTATGTGTAACAATCGCGAAAACCTAAGAACTCGACATTTTACTTTATTTTAATTATAAAAGGCGTTGCACAAAGAATGTTGGAAAAAATGGAATTCCAATATTTTTTGCTGCCAAGATATTTGTTTCAACTTGGCAGGCCGGATTCGCCTAGTGTAGCCTAGCGTCATTAACAAAAGTGCATAGTTTTTGTAATACGGAGTTTCAAACACGTTTGTCTGAATATTTTCATGCGTTAAAATGTTGGTTGCGAACGGTCTGCATTTGATTAAATACTTTCATTCAATTTATAGCCAAGTGAGCTTACATTTGGTCGATATGAACATTGCAATCAAAACTTAATGCTAAATTCTATGTACATAGAGTACATGCAAAAACCACAAAAAGTTGCACAAAATAAGTTAATAATAGAAAAAAACCCCAATGGGCTACCACAGCTTTTTTTAGTTGCTGATACAGACGACAAAAGGATTTAACCAGTTTTGTTGGAGAGTATTATGCTGTTGCCACGGCTGGCAAGCATCAAATCTTATTTTATAACATTTCTGACTTACGAGTATTTTGAAGACTACTATTTTATTCTAAAACCTATACAGTGAACTGTTTATTTGGGATTCAGAAAATTGAAAGACTAGTGAGTTTAGTGCTTTTAAATAAGACATAACTTAGCAATTCAGGAGTATTATTTCTTTTTGACGCACGCTTGGCCGTAATATTACCTGATGTTACCTGATGCGACGAGACCTACTATAACACGCGTTTATCTAAAAAATCTATACCTTGAATAGACCCAAATTGAATAGAAACACATTAGGGTACTGTAGTGTGTCATGAAAGATTATGTTTTTTTCTTTTCCATTTTGTTTTTAATAATAATGCACCTCTTACGTTTACGATATCTAAGTAATTGTCTCTTAGATATGCTCACTTTATCGGCTACGTTCCTGACTTAACGTAGTCTTGATTGTGGTTAAAAAGTTAGCCCATTTTTTGTTTTAATTGTGGTCAATTTTTTTATTTTTAACTCATCACCTGTGAAAAGGGGACCTGTAAAAAGGCTGAAACGTGTGTTTGTTTTAAAAAAAATATATTTACATAAAAAAATAGTTTCATTTCCAATTATTATATTTATTTTAGAAATTCGGTATTAATTTGAAGCCGATATTAACTAATAATATCGGGTCGGCAAATATAAAGGTTCACATATTCGCACACCAGGTATCAAAATGCATCCAGCGAAAGACCACGAAGGAGTGCCTTTAAACCTAGCAGTCGCACATATGGGCATCGTCGTCTACCAGAACTTCACTAAGATCAACACATTTAGCTGGGCCAAAGTTCGCAAAATATCGTTCAAGAGAAAGAAGTTTCTTATCAAACTACATCCTGAGGGATATGTAAGTATTGGAAAACGTATTTATTTAAATACCACATATTTTTATATATTGCCTCATTAATCAGATCGGAAAATGCAGAGTACACAGGGTTACTTGTAAAATACTAACAACCTTTCTGGAATACATATATACTCCCGGACACATAATTCGAGCCACCTCGCATTTTTGTCGTAAAGGGCTAGAATACAAAAATAGTGTTGTCATCGAAGAAAAAGTTTTCCCCGGTTTTATTTGCAAAATTCACAACAAGGACTTAAGGAAAAGATGTTTAGTCTACTAGTTTCAAAAATTGATTATAGTTTTTGATCAATCAAACATGTTTAAGCTTAGGGCACTTAACACTGTCGTAGTGAATGTTCACCGATCCCACGGCGCCGACTCAACCGGCGAGAGCTAAACCCAGGGGGGTTTTAGTGGGGTAGGCCTTCCATTCTGGAGGGAGAGTCCCCACATAACCCCTGAGTCTCCCTGGGCTAATAATAGTTATTAGCCCAGTTAGTTAAAAGTTAATACTTAAAATACGTGGTGGCTCGAATTATGTGTCCTGAAGTGTATTACTAACATCATAAACAACCACTTTTGTTATATGCATTTTTACAAAATGTAATTGAATAATTAAAAACTTAAAAGGTAGTTTTTATTATACTATGTGGCCTGACACTTTTTAAATCTGTATTTGGTGATACCCGCGATCCTCATATTTTCATACGAAAGTAAAATGTGATGAATTATTAAAAGCCATGGAACAAAAGTTGTTGTTTATGATGTTAGTAATATAGACCTGCGAGGTTGTTAGTAATTTACAAATGGTCATGATATTAGATATATTGATTATATAGAGGCGATATTACCTCCCACTGAAATCTCGGAATGGTTGAAAAAGGCAAAAAGTCAAAACTAAATAGTTATATTTTATAGAAATACAAAACTTTTCTTTTGAGTACACTACCGTAGTAATTGCTAGGTACACAAGAAAAATATAAAAGAAAATTCCAGAAATTCAGAGCGAAGTATTATACACTCTATATTGTATATATTTCTTGAAGTTTAGGTAAACATATTCCGATCTTTAACTATAAAGCACTTGAATTGTCTAAACATGAAAGATTTTTTCTTTGTTGACGATAAAAGTTTCACTGCGTGGTAGTATTGTCTATATCCTGGATTATCTGCAACCTAAAAACAAATGTAGAAATTTTAAAAACAATCTATTTTTCTTTGTTTTACTCATTGACTTACAAGTCAATGGTTTTACTGTACGTAGTTCATTCAGTATAAGGATGGAGTAGAATCTTGTAACCGACCAATCAATGACGTTAAAAATCACATGGTATTTTCAATACGAGTGTGATTTCGGATTGTGGAGCACTGAGTGAGCACTTCTTTGACTCCATTGAGAGAGAGGCTTGCAACTGCTGTGATTTTTTTGTTTTATGTAATAAATTAGTTAAATTGTGCATCCAGGTTCCTTATTGTATTCTATTTGTGAGGATTTGTATTTGGCTTTTAGTTGTTATTATCATTTAATTTAGTTTTAAGCTGTTGGTCTTCCTTTTATATAAATAGATATTAAGTTCAAAATGTAAACTGATGAACGTCACTTTTCATCACACTTGCAGTTAATAGTGTATGCAGGCTAACTTGACTGTAATGCCCCAAACAAAACTCTCGGGCCTTTTTCTTCATATTACCGACCATGGCTGTAAAAGTTTTATTTGGGGCATTATAGTCAAGTTAGCCTGTATTCAATCATACTATTTACGTGCAATTGTGATGAAAAACATTGTATGTTCGCACAACATGCATACGGGCAAACTTTCTCTCTCTCTAAACTATTTACAAATTCAGAAAACATTTTTATTCATTTTAACAAGTCTGCAGCAGTTGTCGAACTCTTAATGCTCCAAACTTCGCGGTGCCTTAAAAACAAACGGAACTGTGTTTTAAATTGTTTAGTTCCATAACTTCAAATGATGGACTTTATCACTGAAACTTACATCAAAAGAAAAATATTACAATCATCAACCCATTTATACGTCCCAATGCTAAGCACGGGTCTCCTCTCAGGCAAGGGTTCACCTTCATCGACGTGCAAGTTTCATCATTATGTTTTCTTTTATCGAAAAGCAATGGTATATTTCAAATTCAATTTCACACATAAATTCTGAGAAATTATGAGCCCGGGTTCGAACCCACGATCTCGGCTCGAAGTGGCTACGACGGCGTAATGAAAAATACATGCTGAAAATTTGTTGCTATTTATAACAGATCGTAAACCAATTACTGTCATTTATATACCCGTTCTTTTACCCTGTAGTAGGTACTGTAAAATCACACGTGCAAACTCACTTTAATATTATTGTTGTTTTTCGAAATACCTTTCTGTAGAAGTCAAAATAATGCAGACAACCACACCAATTACCTGGTCTCAATACTAGAACAACGGAATCTACTCCGAGCCATTGCTTAGAACACCAGACCAAAATCAATTTCAAAAAGTGTATTTTCTAAATTAATCCTACTCGGAAATCGAACCCGGGGTCTCTTCATATAGCGATCGCAATGCAACTCACTAAAGTCGTCAAATTGTCATTAATGTTTCAATAGACTTTTTATCTACCTGTCTCTTCGTATGTAAATTTTAAATCTTTTTGCTGTGACCGGGGTTTCCTCAGCAAGTGTAGCTACTATTCATGCGTGTTTAAGGTTTTAAGTTCTCTTTTCGAGCTTGATAAACAAACGTAAAAGTTACTCACTGTCAGCGATATCACCACAGATAATATTAATAGATATGCACGCGGCTCAAAATCCGCGGAACTTGTTCAATTCATATTTCTCTCCCAGGGCTACTTCAGAGACGTAGTGGAATTCTTCTTTGAAGGGCGCAACGAATGCAAAAACTTCTGGAAGAAATGTGTAGAGAATCACGGCTTCTTCCGCTGCTCCAGCGTACCGCGGCTGCCGAGGCACAAAACAAGGGTCATGTCGAGGGGGTCTTCGTTTAGGTAACTGAACATAACATCACATCAACCTATTAAGGTTCATAATACAGGATAACAACAGCTCCGCATCTCAGGCGGGTTTGAGACAGCAGTAAACCTGCAACGTAAAAATGTCATAAGTGCTTCTAAAGTTAAACTCTACTGTTTGCAAAACCCCTATCGAAGGTTTGAATTAAAATTGTCGTTATATTGCAGGTATAGCGGCAAAACGCAGAAACAAATTGTTGAATACGTTCGCGACAACTACGTCAAGCGGCAAACATTCCAAAGGTTCGTTTATTCTTAAATACGATTTCAGCTTCGCAGTTTAGTTAACGATTTCGTTGCATGTATCGACTCGACAGCTTAGCAGCTATAGACAAGTTAGCTTCTTGTAAAATAGGTGTAGTTAGTTCGCTTATAGATGTATCTTTAGTTGTTTCTGACAGTGTTACTGCATTCTAACAAAAACTGAAGATTTTAAAAAGATTCTTCTGTGGGAGGGTATAAGATTGAGAGATTAGATTAGGTTTAGTTATAAGGGATACAATTTTTTAGTATAAATTAGTATAAGATAATTGCGTTTGAAAGGTGAGTGGTTAGCATGGGCTGGGCGACACTAGCTTTTGGTTTTGTCTTGTGGGCGATTGTTTGAAAAACGAGAGAAACGATACAGTGTGCATGGTACGAAAAAGTCCCTAAAAACGACACGAGATGGTTAGCGACGCTTCGAATAGTTTGTATTTATCGATGGAGATTAGCGAACTCGAGCATGCGCTGTATCCGTTGAGACTTTCGCTTCTTCCAAAAAGATTTCTGGAGTGCGTCGAACGCCGCGACAATCGGCCGGAGGATGGTGTGCTCGTTCTTTTTTAGGGATTTTAGCGATGGGTCTGCGCTCCTACTATATCAACTTTTTCCTTCAAATACCAAAATACATGGCCAGACACTGCCCCATGCACAAATGTGTAGGGTAATGTACAAAGATGATTTAATCTTTGTATAAAATTTCATGTTTGCTAATTTCAAATAAAACAAACTACTGCTAGAAACTACCAGACGTTCTGTATTGTAACTTATTGCAACAATAGACGAAACTTTCAGACGTTTCTGGGAACAACTAGAAGTGCTAATATAGAGATAAAATATTTTTGTACATTACAATTTTCCATCTAGGGCAAGGCAACCGTAAGCAGTTCGCCATATATGGCGGTTCTGTTGTGTCATTTCTTCGATTGAAGTTGTTGTCTCTATTACACCGTTAAGCTCTCTGACTTTTTACTGTTACCGATTTGGACACCCACATTAATTTATTCGTTTCCTTTATCGCCCTTTCTCAATTAAATTATTTATGGCTTTGCCCATAAAGGCACTTGAATGAATTGACGGATTTTCGTATGGACTCTGCTTCAATGTTATGAAGCCAGAATGTGATCATCCATTTGGCAAATAAATATAATGAACGTGTAGAATATTCCGAAAAGTCCTGCAGTTGATGGATTCTAAAATTGGTTCTGAATGAATAATTTTCGACCTGTGCTTCTTTCTAAACCTAGTGAGGAGCACAGGCCCGCGTCGTGAGACAATGTAAGGTAGCATAAACGGGAGGGAGTCGCGAAACCAAAAGCTGGTGTTTTAGATCGCGTCATGACATGTGCGGGCGCCGCGCGGTCGCTGGGTGTTAATTATAATTTGAGATTATGCGCCTGTTAATACGATATGACGTCGTTGTGTTTAAGATACTCCGCGTGTAATTCAGCCAAGTATTACCTGGCCAATCGCAAGCCCTAATGATGAGCGACCGCGCAGCCCCGTGCCGGGTGAACGCCGCGCAGTCGATACACTCGCTAGGCTGAATAGAGGTGAATGTGGTATCACCATCCTCCGCCGATGTCCAGGTCGGGGTCTTTCCGTGCGTCGCGCTCGGCGGGCGGGTCGCGCGCCAACGTGGCCGCGTCGGCGTCCGCGCCCGCGCCGCTCGCGCACACGGCCAGCGTGTCCGCGCATCCGCTGCTGCCGCTGCCGCCCGGCTCCGATGGTACTTACTCTACTTCTCTTATCTCTCTTCTCTACTGCCATTACTGTTTCGTCTTCGCTTCGTTTTATCAATCGTCGTACAACTTGTATACGCCGACGTGTAACAAAATAGACGGAACAGTATTGGTATTAGAAAATAGACGATTCCCTCAGGACCTTCGGCGCAGACCTGTTACATAACGACATGAACTCATTACTATTGCACACCGTAGTCAGTATTACATTACACTGTTTACTCTGCTATCGTCGTGCTACAGCCTACCGAAATATCACACATGTCACCTTAAACTTCGTACGTACTTTCCAGTCTATGCTTGTTTTACGTAAATAGTAACAAATTTTTGTTTTAATTCTCGTAGTTTATACTAATCTTTAACTGTGATAGAAAATTTCACACAGAGACAGTCCAAAATATTGCTTTTCATATATGGGCTGCCTGCGTATTTATGTTCCAATGTTAACACAGAAGCCGGGTTCCCGCCAGTACTACATTATGCTGAGTAGAGGTGTTTTTGGCACTTTTAACTTTCATTGTGCCATTAATATCTCACTGAATTAACAATTTCCATCTTCATTTATAAATATTCCATCACCAACTCGCGCCTGTATGTGAGAAGCCTATTGAATGCGATAGCAGTAATTAATATGTACGATTTTTTGTAGCGATTTCGCTGGAGTGGGACAAGCAGCCTCACTACCTGGAGGCTTCTCTGATGATGAAGGGCTATCGTCCGGAGGAGGCGCGTGCAGCGGCGCAGGCGGGGCGCACACGCCGTACCTCGGAGGTCGCGACTCGCCCGCCGCTCGCAGCTACCGCTTATGCTTCCACGAGGGACAAGGTCTGCAATCTTTTGTGCACCATCTACTCACTCTATTATTATATATGCTGCCCTATTTTGCACGATTACAAATCATATAGAATCGCTGACTTGGGTACACTGCCCACTGTACAGGAATCAGGGCTTTTTTGTGAGATAATACGTCATGAAACTTGATGAGACTCGCGTCTATATAGAAAAAAATATCATTGAAAGCGCCAGAAAAAATGTCATCGAGATTTCACTATTAATCTACCACTTTTAACGACGACAAAGCTTTTTTCTTCAACAAATTTTTCTAAATAATGTAAGGATGTTTGATTGTGAGATGAGTTTTGGTTTTTAGTTTTATCTTTGGTTTCTAAACGCCTTTACAACGACTTTTTCTCGACTGACTTTCGATTGATTTCTTGCTTTGAAAAAAGTACCTCATTTTTTTGAAAAAATAAAAAATGGGGTTCCTTGAATTGGTAAAAAAAATGCTAACCTAGCTTGTTGAGTAGACATTATCGTGTAGAAGCCACTGAATCAGAAGCTTGATTGTGTGACTATGCCATGAAATTACTTTCCAAAAGAAGAATTGTGTTCTGCATGACGTTTCAATAAAGTTTCAGTTATCTTTACAAAGCAAACTTAATTTTGCCGTTAAGGAAATTCAGTCAGCCTACAAATATCGGTTGGTCGTTATAAAGTTTAATGACAAAGTAAAGTTTGAGATTAATGTTACACGATTGAGATGGTGCTTTTTATTTCCGTTTCACACAGAGAACTGTTTTGTGTTTCTTTCAGCTGACAAAACTGTACTACAACCAAATCGTAAGGGCCTTTATGAAATTTGGTTTATGTATCTAATCTTTCCAAATTCCTCATCATTAATATTATTTCTCATTAGTTTCTCTCCATTCAATTCAATATATTGTGCACTAATGTGGTTAAATATTATTAAATTCTTGAAGCTAATGTGAAATCGAAATGTAATTCTGCTCAAAAATAATTTTTAAACCCGTAATCTTTCATCTGTTTGTTGTCAATCGTTGATTAAATAACCACATTGGCCTGATTAAAATTACATGTAACTCCTAACACATGTGTCTCGTTTACATTTTCCTACATAATATAATAAATGCATCATTTAACACGTTATTTGAATTGGACATGATTTTATCAAATTTTCGCACGTACACTCGGTCATCTCGCACTCTTTCTGATGCACTAGACGTTGAATATTCGATGTGGTGTACATATTGAACTCGGTGTTAGTATTTGAATAACATCTTAGTAGTGTCAATTGTCTTGTTACGATTTGGTGACGGGTCTTGACTAACATTTTTAAACAAATTGGCTAAAGTGATACTCCGTGGTTTGGATCAAGGCCTGTTATCAAAATGCGTAGAATGTTGCCAATTTCTTAACAATATTATCGGTGTTATAGGCGGCTCACGAGCAGGTGACGCATGCAGAGGTCAACCATCATCCTACGGAGGATTCGCCTCTGCCTCATCGGATGACGACACCATTGGTGAGCTCTTATTTGTATTGGTCAATGTTTAAAAAGACGAAAATGTATTTAAGAGCTCTTGCTCTCTCAACAACGTTAAACATGAATCTTTCCGAGCAGGTTTCTCCGGAGAGTATATGGAGCCAGGCGAGCTTGGCGGGCGCGGCTGGACGCGCACGCGCACCCACTCCGCCACCTCGTGCCCGCCGCAGCAGCCCGCCGCCAGGTCCGACCCTCCCCATCACCACCATACACACTCACTCTCACACCTACACCATCTACACACACATGCCCACGCACATGCACACGCGCACTGCCACGCCGCCGTACCCTGCCGCCGTTTCGTCTAGCGGCTACCCGGACTTCCTGCTCGCGAAACAGTCGTCCAGCTTCAAGAAGTCCTCGGAGCGGCTCGAGTACGAGCTGAGCCAGTGCAACATGTACTCGGCGTGCCCTTCGACGCGCTCCAGCCGGTCGGGGGGCTCGCTGCTGCTCGAGGAGGTGGAGGCGGCGCCGCGCGCGCGACTCGTGTGGCGCCGCAGCGCCAGCTGCCGCAACCTGCGCGACTTCAGCTTCGACGACGCCGGCAGGGCTAAGCACGGGGGCAAGCAGAAGCGCGACACCAGGAGCATGGTTGCCGATCTCGACTACTACTACCCGGCGGGTGATCGCCGCATAGACTCTCCGATCACGAGGTACGACGACGCTCGGACTCTCGCCTTCGTTCTGGGCACTCAGAGCTCGATCGAAGCGCAGCGGGAGATGATAGGTCGCACCTACTCCTCGAGTTTCCCGGGAGCGGTGAGTGAGCCTAGGTTAGATGCGCCCGCGTTCGTTCGTAGCGGTTCTCAAGACGATATTTCGCACGACAGTTATGAAGTCGTCGAGAGATCGGACGATGAATCAGAAAATCCCAGATATGCTAGAATTCAGCCGCGGTCGGTTGTTCACACTCGGTCATGTTCGTTAGACTCCGGTAATGATTTGCCATCAGACGATGATCAATCACTCTCCCATCTCTCTGAATGTGGAGATCAGGAGCCTGAAATTGGGATGCCCAGTGTCAAGTATAAGAGTGACAACGACATTCCTCTCGATCCGTTCCTGATGGACGATCCGAGAGTGTTACCACGAGAAAAACTATCCGTTAGATCTGACGGCAGTTTTTATAAGGAAATTAAACGTGCGCTTGGCTCAAGAACTTCCAGTCAGGAATCAAAGAGCGATATTTACGAAAAAATATCGAAGAGTAGCGCCGAATCTAGCAAGAAATCTCGTGATAGCGTTTATCATACTGATAGCAAAAAATCCCGCGAGACTTTGAAGAGCAAAAGCTCGGACAGATCCGGCTCAAGAACATCGAGCCAGGATTCTAAGTCCGATTATTATGATTGCAAGAAAAGTTTGTATGATCCTGACGATGTAATTGTTAGACGACGTAGTACTACTAGTGTACAAAATGCATTTATTGACCCTTTCGAGCAAATATCACCGTCGTCTAGCCCCGACTCAGGGAAGGAATTCTATGATACACAACCGACTTTTATTGGAATGGATAAACCAGAATATAGTGAGAGGACATTATTCGATAAATCTCATGAAGATTTGATTGCTAATCTTGCTCATTCGCCGAACTTTTATCATATATCGACTCCCTATTCGACTTTTCCGAGCAATAGTAAACATCACAAAGAACCAAGTCCTATGCATTCTGCGAGTCTGCAAAATGTAGAGCTGGAGCAATACGGACAGTATTCTGATTTAAGTCCACCTAAGAGAATGGATGAACTATCTACTGAGGAAGAAGACCTTCATCTGCATACGACTCACATTTGGTCTGAAAAAATTCCGGGCCTTGACACTGAAATTGATTTGCGAGCCACGAAAATACTTAGTTATCAGCGACGACGTTCATCTGATACAGTTTTCAGTTTTGACAAAGATAAAATCGAGTCTCTTACTCGTTCTACAAGTAAAGAAGCCGCTCCTCCACCCTCTCATCTCGTTAAAGAATCATCAAATGAATCTGAAGTTAATGTTCGTATATTGCCCGCTATGGACAGTATCGAGTACGCTAAGCAAAAAGCTAACAAAGCCGCTGGTATAACTGAAACGTCATCAATCCTTCAATCCGAATTCGACAAAAATATGCGTGGATTATGTACTTTACATACGCATATCGTTAGGAAAGAAAACTTGAAAGAAGAGTTAATGGCTAAAACTCACTTCGATGAATACAATCCCAAACTTATTTTAGAGACTAGTTCTAGCAGTCGTCTCGCAGACAGCGCTCCTCCGTACACACATCCCACGGTTGAAAGAACCAAGAGTGATCCTAACAGTCTTGCGAATAGACCACGGTTTAGTAGCGTTAACTCGCGGAGACATGTCCTTATGCATCAAAAATCCATTGACTTGACTCCAGCGGAATCGAGCGACGAAGACTACATATTTCGTCAAATCCCTAGTGCTCCGCCTATTGCAACAAAACGTTCAAATTTCGAGTTGCCGTCTAGACACCCAGACCATTCGCGACCGCAATTTGATTTGCCTAAGAACTACTTCAAGGAATTTGATGCATTCAAAGCTGGGTTCAAAGATGTTAAGAAGCAGGTTGATGACGAGTATGATATTCCATACGTTTTGCATAAAAGGCATATCATGAATGGAACTGCTCCTTCGCCAATGGATGATAAAAGACAACCTCCAGATATCATTATGCTTCCACCGCAAAATGGACGTCACATCGTGAGTGCTCATCCTCGGTGTAAGTACCACGATCATCCTAAGTCTCCGCGTTCGCCTAAGTCGCCAAAATCTCCAAAGTCTCCTAAATCGCCAAAATCACCAAAATCTCCAAAGTCACCAAAGTCGCCAAAATCTCCAAAGTCTCCAAGAAATAGCATACAAGTGGACCACAGTTCTAAATTTTTGGAAGTTGAAAGTCGAGATTTCTTATTCACTCAGAATATTGACCTGTCCAAAGTCGATCCAGTTACTTTGGAAATAGATAAAAGCGGACAAATGCAACATATGCCTAGTCCAAAAAGAGACATTACTAAGAACTTAGACCCAGCGTTGTTGGAAACATTAAATTCTAAGCTGAGCCAAATTGAAAGTGATTCTGCGACAAGTTCAAAAACTGATAGTATTAGACAGGAAGCTCAATATCCACATGATATAAAATTCACTATCAACGGACGCAATGTGCAACAACCACCCATTAAGGAATGCAAACCAATGACTGCTGCAGAGAAATTGCGAGCTGACATCAAGTCAAAATCGGATAAATTGCCTCCAAAACGAGGGTCAAAAGGACGCGGCACTGGTAAAAAGGGAGTGGGCAGCAAAATTAAAGGAAAGAGTAACAAGATTCGTATTACTTCATTTTCTTCGGACGATGAAAGCGTTGATTCTGATGATGTATTCGGTACTACCGAAGCAGCACCCAAGCTGGAGTTTTCTCCTCCACAATCTCGTAAAGAATTAGAACCAATTTTACAAATGGAGTACGATAAAATTACATCTGGCGCTTGGCACAGAGGACAAACAATGAGTTCGACAGAAATTGAAGGTTCGCCTCCGCAATGTCGAAAACTAGTCGAACTTGAAGCTAAGTATAACCCGCAGATACTAGAAAATCTCAGTAGTGGCAATGCGACTGAACTCAGGCGAATTTCCGAACGATCAATATCTATACCTAGTTCCGAGGATGATATTGCTATAAAAATACCAGAAATTAAGCAACTAAGCAAAGAAAGTTCTACTTGGGAGTATAATGAAAATATTCCTTCACCAATACTTGAAAGCATCGAATTCCTCAAATCGGATGACGAACATTTAGCAGATATGGAGATCCAGAAAGTAACGGGTCTTCGAACGCAATCTGAGGAGAAAAGTGAGACTAAAGACGAAATAAAAGATAGACTTAACGTTAAGAAAAGTTTGCGGGATGAATTGATTTCGCCAATGCTTCGTAAGCCTGGTGGCACTCCAATTTTGTTTGCCCATGCGAGGTTAAACCTTTCTGAAGGCTCTGTCTTCTCCTTACAACGTCAAAAAGCAACACAAGATTCTCCAACCGCCAGTCGCAGAGCGAAGAGTTTAGATACACCTGTTATTCAACTACACCGTCTTCCTCCTATGAATGCTTTTTCCTCTAAGGATGACACTGTGGAAGATATCAATGAAGAAGGAGTAATATTGGAAGAAAAACCTTTATTAGACGATAAAGGAAAAGCTGCGATCGGCAAAATTGATGAGGTAGAAGAAGAACAGCCGGAGGAGTTAAAAGTTGTTGTAATTGACAACGAAGAGCTGCAATTATTGGAAGAATTAGTCGAACAGCGACGCCCTCGATCTTTTAAACGTCGATATGATATGACTAAATTGAACTCTCAAATTAAGTCTCCATCGCGGTCTCCACTAAGCAGATCGCCTCTATCTCGTTCGCCAATTTCAAAATCGCCATCAAGGTCGCCGACGTCGTCTCTGAATTCGCCTAGAGGTAGCATCAGAAAACTATCCGATCTTAGCGAGGATCAAATAGTACCTGACATTGAGAGAATCAAACGAAAAGAAAAGAAAAAGTTGACTCTGAAAACTAAGCCTGAAGATAAGCAAAAGATTTCAAGCAAATTGAATAAAGGAGGTTCACTTGACACAAACGCGACTACAGTAAAAGCTTTACAGACCCAGAAATCATTGCCATCGTCTTTGAAAGATAGACCAGATTTCTTAACTGTTCCGCCACTTGAAATCGCTCGCGCTCAGAGTCAAGAGCTAGAACAATCTGCAAGGAAAATTTCTAAAGAGAAGTCAAAATCTCTTGGGGAAATGGAAGTCAAACGCACGGGTAGTAAAGAACGAACTAAATCCCAAGAAGGTAGTGATACTGAAATTGCAAAACGCAAAGAGAAACAACAAATGCTATTTGAAGCTGCACTGAAGCAGACTAAGACACTTATCAGCCCGGTCAAGGATACTATGCCGCCATTCCCTCCTCCAGAAGACAAGATCTTAGTGAAAACTGAAGGCGACAAAATAATTATTGAAACTCAAATAAGTAGCAAAGCCGAAGATCATGTTTTTATTGCCAAGTCCCCCAAAAAATTGGATAATAAGTTAACTGGCAAAATCAGTAGAAGTTTCGAAGATCAGAAAGCTTCTAAAACGAACAATAAGATGAACAAAAGCATGGATGATAAATCAAGCCAATCCTTGGAAGATAAATTTGACGATCTTGCTGCTTTACAGAAGTCTCCTAAGACACTATCTAAGAAACAAGAAATTAAGCAACAAATTGAAGGAAAAGTTGTGTATCAAAAAATTCACCCCAGTGTTAAGTCAAAGAGTTTGGATAGGAAAGCTGAATTACATCTCGATACAAATGCAAAATCTAAAAGTTTGGATAGGAATTATGTCACTCCTCAGACAATGATTTCGGAAGGTAGTGACAGGCACTTCAAACAAGAAATTGTTAAAGTTGATGTACATCCCAGTGTAGAAGAAGAACCAGAGCCAGAAGCCGAACTACCTCCAATTGCTAAAGTACAGAAAAGGAAGGAAAAAAATGTGTCGCCGACACAAAGCTATAAAGAGAGGACCGAAGATGACTCGTCTATTGAGTGGATGACAAGTTCACAATATACAGTTATAGAAAATGATACACAAACTGTCATCATGGAACGTCGCAAAATGGACATTTACAACAAACAAAGACAATCAGAATTGCAAGAGAGTAAAAGTAACCAAGATGTTCATAGTTTACTATCTGATAGGAAACCTGAAGTTACTAGGTTGACCAGTGAAGAGGAGTCGCTGACCGAAGTAAGTGAGTTAAAAGTGTCTGATGAAAGTAACATGCTAGGTATTTCTTTACCTTACATTGACGCCGACAGTTCTTCTGATCAAGACCAAGGATCTAGAAGGGACATGAAAACAGCATTGCTTTCTCGAGGTCGTAGCTCTGATACTGGGTCGTGCGCTACTGCTGATTATGAAGAAGATACTGTGGACACTGATTTACCGATCTCTGATACAAGTTCACGGAAAAGTAAAGGACGCAGAACTTTAGATCCTCAGGGAACATTTGATGAATCGTCCGCTAGTCTGGTAGAATTCTTAAAGCAGGAATCGATGACTCAGGAAAGTGTACCTGAATATAAACCTAGGGAATCTCCTAAAACGATGGACTTTACTACTTTAAAGAGAAAGAACAAAAATAAAATAATTGTTACGCCGCCACAAGAAAATAGTCCCACCACGGAAAATATACCGTTTATAGACTCTAGTACTTCAAAGTCTACACATAAATCGGAATCTGGAGAACAGACGGGTAGTTCGGGGAGCGCTAACGATAATTCTCCGACAGATTTGAAAAATGACCAAAAAGTTTTGTTGACTGCAAAATCTAGGCGCAGCGAATTATTGAAATTAAGTGCCGAACGTTCAAGAAGTTCAGAATCTACCTCGTGGACAAGCATTGAGAAAGATGCGAGTCCTTCGAGTGCTCATATCAAAGGAAGCTCTATCGACGACGAGTCAAGTGTCAGCTGCTCTATTGCCAGACCATTAGGCATATCACAAGACATTGAAAAACTGAACAAGAAAGACAGAGAATCTTTGGAAGAATTAAAACAAGCGATGGAATATGGAGAAGAACGTTTGGTTTCCCAACATACTTTATCAAGCGAGCAATCCAAATCTAATTCAAAATCTCCTTCACCAGTTCCTGATCGCATTGAAAGTCCTCGTAGTCCTCGATCTCCTCATAGTCTTTATGGAATGAGAAAATCTCCTACACCAACGTTAGAGAAACAAGGACCTGTAGATTCACAAAAAGCACCTTCTGATTCAGATTCGAGCTCTGAGAGCATCCATAAGACAGTTGAACAACTTTCTAAAACAAATGTCAAAAAGCCTGGCTTAGATAAAATTGGAAAATGTGTTGTAGAAGAATCTGAGTCAAGCCAGTCGGCGGCTTCCAAAACATCTGACTTGAAAAAAGAATCCCTTAACCATGTTAAAAAAACTAAGATTGCAATTACAATATCCCAAGAAGATCAAAATACTACTATAGATTTTGACGACGATGGTAATGTGATCACATCTTCTTTTGAGCGAGAGCTGATGAAGAAAAGGTCTTTAAAAGATACTGATCAGAAAAGTTCATCAAAATCTAGTGTGGATACTACTACCACTACAACTCCATCAAAAGGATCTCTAAGTGTAGATGATTCTTCTCTCTCAAGAAGAAGGAGTCTAGGTGATCAAAAGAGTTCTTCTAAATCGAGTATGGATTCTAAAGGCTCTCTTAGTGTTGAGTCTAGAGGATCATTTGAAACAACAGAGTCTACGTCAGGTTCTCTCGGTGAAGCATACCGTCGAGGCGAAGAACTAAAACCGACATGGCGTCCATTTTTTGGAGCATCGGGTAGTGAAAATAGTACAAGCATAGAAGAAGCTTGGATACCGCAGGATCACGATGGCTACGAAAGTTTAGTCAACAAAGAAGGCTTTGAATATAATAACCAAAGATTATTGGACGACTTACAATCGTTTTCTAAAAATCCACCACTGTCATCAAATACTTCCAAAGATTCAACTGAAGCCGATTTTACAGACGATCTGAACGATTTTCCTGTCAATTTGTTATATCCAGCTACTTCACAGACATCCACGTCTTCAGACTTAGTTATTGGCTATGGTCAAAACTTTGGTCGTACTCTATCTCGAATTTCTGAACGAAGCACTGCGTCAGAGAAAACGAGTGCTGACGAAGATTCTACAAAAGCTTGCTCGCGATCAGAAAGTATTAATGAGGAATCATTAAACTCTAGTGATCATCAAGCCAGCCTTAGCTCTGATCCTCCGAGTAATGCTAATGTCGCGTATATATCAGATACAGATAGAAGAACTTCAGCTGAAATGCCAGATATACCCATTGATCAGACTAAAATCAGCGAAATGTATTCTGAATCTAAAAGGGATGCAGAACGTGCAAGTAAATTTGATGAATCTAAAAAATCAACCGACAGCCCTAAATCTAAAAAGGGTAAAGCCAAAGAACCCTCTAAAGTTTCATCTAGCGAAGAATCTGAGGACTGGCCATTACCAGAGCTACCACCTGTGGTAGCCATTAAAGTATCTGAATCTGACGAAAATAAACGTCGGAAATCTAGTGATGAATGGCCATCTCTTCCGTCCAGTTTGCTGGAGACACCTATCGTAGAAAAAGTGCATATCTATTACATGAGCAATGAGCCAGAGCAACCTACACAAGTAGTTCTCAAATCAGAGAGTTCAAAAGATCACCTTCAAGGGTCGGATGAAGATAGCGATACGCTAAATAACGACGATGAGCTCGAAAAAGATATTCAGGAGTCTAGATCTGAAAAGTCAGGAGGACGTAGCAGTGAGTCTACACATAAAAATGTTAAAACTATACCTTATGATAAGTCCGGTTACATGGTTGAACCTCTCGAGAACAAAAGTGTCGTTCCAAATTATGATAAGTCTTGTTTGAGCGGAACATTCGGTAAAGCCTCTTGTCTTATAGATGTGGGTTCTTGTTGTTCCCGTGGAGAACATAAATCATTCACAGCGAAAAGTTTAGAGGATAAAGTCATTATAAGTCAGCCCCAAAAATCTCCAACCAATCATAGTCCAATATTTGAAGACACTGATGATGTATTTGGCGCGGATAGTAAATCACTGTCTCCGGATTTTGATAAGTTCTCACAATTAGGCGCACACAAGTTGTCATACGGATCAAACAACTCGGATACGTCTATTGATGATCTGTTATCTGCAACTAATGCTGACGAAACTGTACGCGCTGCTACTAAGTTAAGTACCGGTAGTCCTGGGACTTGCAAAAGATGTAGTCACAGTAGTCATTCTGAGGAAGAAACTAGTTCTTTCGGTACAGATTTAGACGGTACGGTGAAAATAGGTCTTCCCCAAAAGAAATGTACTCATAGTTCTCATTCAGAAGACACTTCTATTTGTTTAAGTATTTCCGAGTGGTCCACGGGAACAAACACAGTACGCCAGTATGCGAATCTTTCCGCTTCTGAAAGCATTTCAGCCGTCTCCGTTCCGAAAAGTGAGAAGTCGGAGAATGTGTCAACAAAAGCCTTTTCGGCGTCTCATGCCAGTAAGAAATCCGAACAAAAACCAAAGATGAGCTCACAAGGAGAACCAATCTCTAAAAGCAGTAGCCTTGATAAAAGTTCTGAGAATATTAAATATGATAAGCTCTGCAGTTCCGAAACTACTATATCGAGGAAAATTGATAGTAGCTCAGGTACCAAAAGCGATAGTACTTTAACTTTGGCTCAGTCAATATCTGATTGGTCGGCTAGCACCAGCCACACTCTGGTTGCAACAGCCCTTGGAGACGAGCACGATGGCGAAGATACCAAATCCGATCATACAATTGTAAAGGAGATCCCTTATATATTAGAAGAAAGACATGTAGAACCTTCAATTTCGAGGAAGTTGTCACCTACTAAAGACAACTACGAACTCGTGGAGCCTGTTTTAAGATTAACTGCTCCGTACGCCATTAAAACAGAAAAGTCTTCGTCTATCAGTTATAGCGACAAATCTGATAAATCGAGCTCCAGTTCGTTGAGCAGCCTCCAAAAACATACTAATGGTGTTTTGAAGTTTGATCAAAGACTGAAAGGATATCAGCCTCAAGATGTGACTCATGAACGATATCAAAAGGCACCCCCGAAAAGTATGAGTTATGAAGAGCAAACTCAGAGACATATTAAACCAACACTTCGATGCCAGAGTGAGGACAGTGGTTTTAAGCCTTACTGTGTAGCCCCTCAACCTGAATTAGACATCGATATGCCATCTCAACTTTACAGTCAAGAAGAAAAGCATAGTGAGCGATATCAAAGTCAAGAGTTTTCGAATATAATTCGTGAAGACATAGGGGGTCAATTTATAAGATCTGACTACAAACCTTTAGCTAAGCATGCAAGTTATGATGACAAAACTTTATCGAAAAACCAGATAAAGGAATATAAAACGTCTCAGCAGTATCGCAGTAAACCTAAAAGCTGGTCGTTTCATGAACACTATTTAGTGTCACCTGATTTACCCATTATATCTGTACCGGAACTTCCGGCAGTACACCGGGAACTTCAAGAAAAAAAATCTGCAGAGAGGTCCGGCAAGACGCCGCTTTCTAGGTGCTCTCCTTACTACTCTAGTAGTTTGAGCTCAGAGTCCCCGCCTATACAACCAATGAAGGCGCCGGTTAAGAAATCTTTATTAGTGAGGAACATTTCATTAAAGAGTCCACCAAGTGGCAATGACACAGACAGTTCTTTGGATGTGATAAAAGATCCTAGGGAACGAATGAAAACGTTTAGACGTAAGAAACAGGTTACGAGTGCGCGAAAAAGGCAAGAAAAAATTCAGGACGTGTTAGAGGAAGATTCAACGAAGAGCCAATGTTCTTCAGAAAGTGAAAAGTTGGCAGGGGCCAATTACCTCGCAGTTGAAGATAATTTGCGTCGCATGGAAAGTTCAGAATGCTCCGACAGCTATTTACCTGAAGTGGAATCAGGATCTTCTGAAGTTTCGAAAGGCGATTCCAAACATTATGACATTCAAGAGATAGCCAGCTACTCTGAAGATGAAGGACAAGAGGATTACGCTCAATATAAAAGCAATACTTATGAAGCTCAACAATTTCCTATTAGTATAACTCCAGTACAATTCCAAGGGTTCGGTTCTTCCGCTGATGAAGATGAAATGGGCTTCCCTCGATTTGATAGATTGGGAAGATTGCGTCATCCATATTTGGATACACAAGAACCGCCTTATGTAACTGAAGATAGTCCTCCGCGAGCGTCTTATTCAAATAAAAGCAGTCGCCAATCTTCTTTAAAGAAAGCAAAATCTTCCTCACAACATCGTTTAGAAGACAAATCACTTGGAGAACCTTCCGGACAGCAATTAAGACAACGTCAATATTATGAGGAGCAAAGTGATAGAGATGATTCAGACGATTACGCATACCCGGTTGATACTATAAAGCGAGCTCCGAAGATGTCGAAATCAGGGAGCAACTTCTTATTTGAACGTGGGGAATCAGTGGCTTACTCAGATTCGGAACTGCCACAAGATAAAGACGAATATGAAGAATATAGAAGTAGTCCTTATCCAGAACATTATGAAGAAATTGAGATGTACCAAACGCAGGAGTGTTACCCGCAGTACGAACAAGATTTAGATGATAATAGGGATCATAATGAAGAGCGTTACACTCGCAATCTCGATCAACGATTCAGTCTGAACAACGTGGAAAGGTTCTATTCTAGCCACTATGTTGATTCTCAGGCTTCTAGCGATAGTCCCGAGCAAAAGTTTGACGTTTCTACTTTACCCCCGCCTTTGTGCTCTGATGACGAAAACGATTAATCGCACTTGAGATTATAGTTTTAGTTTTGTCGTGGTCACTCGTCGTCTCCCCTCGTGTTATCAGGTGTTCGTTGTTCGGTATTCGTGTGTACTATTTTACTCTGCGTTTAGAAATTATAGTTCTGATTAATGCAATTAATTGTTACATTGACATTTGTTAGGGTAAATTATTATATTGACTATTTACATCACTTTGAATACCTGTTTAGAGAAATCTATAAAGAAATATAGTGCCAATCCCCGGGTAGAGCAACCCTTTGACTCGTGTAAACATTATGCCAACTTGTACCTAGCTAAGTAAGTAATTAGGTGTAGTTATGTGTACTGATCGAGAATTATTCGACTTTAACGTTTTACTGGAATTCTGGTCAATGTTTCAGTGGAAGTCAGTAATTGAAATTCACTATGCTATCTAGTTTCGTTTAGATGATCTAAAGCTGAAGCTGAAAAAAATGCATTACTATTAGTGCCAAATATTTCTTGCTGATATTGCAGTACTGCAGATTTACTTGTGAATGTAATAGCCAGTACAAGAGACAAGAAAAACTTAAGCATTGACCATTGACTTACAATTATATGGACGTCGGGTCCGCGCTAAAAAGTGTCCGAACTTATAGGGCGTTAAAATCGTATACAGAGCGTCATTCACGCTTTAGTCTTCGTTTGTTCGACTGACAGCGAAGCAAGCAAAATTAGCAGTACTGCGATGACATTACAATTTAAATTCAACGTTTTAGCTTTTTCATATTCCTTTACATGTCACTACGTATAAATAGGTTGACTTGGGACATTTTTTTCGTGGTTTTTGTATTAGACCCGTCGCCATTTATTTGTAAGTCAATGGCATTGACTATTAAAGTAGGAATTTGATTTTAGTTATTATTCCGGACTACAATTATTTATTAATTACTAGTTTTTCTGTGTACTTGACTATGAATTGTATTATGTGCAAAGGCTGTGATTTTTATTTATGTGGTGGGATCCAAGATCTTAATTATTTTATTTAGGTAATTTCTAATTTCCTGCTCAAAGTGTTATTAATCTAAATTTATCACACACAGCACTTACTTACATTCTTGACATACAAACAGAGAGTGTTGCTACGTATGTACCTAAAGAGTTGCTAATAAGTTACAGTATTTTATCTTTGGTCCAAAAGTTTTTAACGCTTTAAGTAACTTAAATAAACTGATTGCTTATTTGTAAACTTTATGTTTGTGTCTATTGTTTTCTGCTAGTGTTTTTGGTTTCTAATAATCGAAAACATGTTTCTTTCTATCTTAATTGATTAGACTGTATATTTTTCGGTGTAAATGTGAATTGAAATTGCAACAATATCTATAAATGCAAAATAGTCAACTCTCTCTGTTTGTTACCTTCTCGTTCAATTTTAATATTAAACTTAAATCACAAATTACACATTTTTTAATTCCACAAGTCACTATTAAATCTCAACCTGGAACCGTATTCGTGCCAAAACTGCTCAATTTTTTCCACACTATCATTATTATGAATTATGATAATTATTTAAAATTGTTTCAAATAAAATCTTTAATATAGGATATATCTTATATTATATTATATTATATTATATATAATATTTGAACTATGTAGATATGCAAATTGTTTGTCGTGTGTTTGGATAAAGCAATTTGAAGTTTCGGTCATCGAAATCCGTGTATATTGTTTGTACGAAGTGACCAGATCCTGGTCTTTAACTATTTATGCTGACTTAAAAGAGTAAGCGAAATTATATAAAGTGTTTATTATAATGAAAATACATAAACACTTTGATTTAAGACGGCTTTGCCTGCCCGCTGGCAAATCCCTTGTCAATACAACGGACATTTGTTCTTTATGGGTTGTTTTCTAAAAGTCGCAGTATGTTAATTAAATTTTATAGTAAATTAATAGATAATTTTATGTTATTTATGGAATAAAAGTCTGTGTTTTTAAAAGTTATTGTTAAAATACGTAAAATAATCCTAATTGCGTTAACGCAGCGTTGCATCGATGTTTTATCGTTTAGAAAATTAGAAAGAATATTTCTTTCAATTTATTGTTGATTTTTATTTAATATAGATAGTTATTTTTTTAATATATTATGAGTTTAAAAATTAATAACGGGCTACTATGTTGCTACATAAAAAAGGACAACTTTTTCTTTAAAAATCGAGAACAGACGAAAATTGGTCTCAAAACTTAAACGAAAATCTAGAATGCACTTGCGACTTCTAATCTCACAATCGATATTATTGATATCGTTCACTGATAGAAAGAGCAGAAAGAAATCGTTAGTAAGTACATCTAATAAATAGATTGTCCTAAATATACGAGTACACCCGTGTTTTTAGATGGTAGGTAGATAGTACTCCCTTACGCTTTTTTCATAGATATTGAAGAGTAATGGTTAACTTATCTATTTTTTCTATTACAATACGACGTAACGGACTCGTTTAACACTGTTATCAATCTGTTTTAATAATTTGAATTAATATTTTAAATTCAGGGTTGTTAGTTACAATTCGTTATCGCCGTGTTGAATTTGTGTGGATAATGATCTTGACGAAAATCACTCTTGTATTTATAGCATAGATTTAAGGTATTTTGTTTGTGATGCCATTATAATTGTAGTGGTAGGAACATAACATTTGAATTCCTCCAATTGTACCAATTTGTTTTGTTCTAAAGAATAAGAATTGTCTTATTATAACACGAAATTTAAAATATTTGAATTTGCATATTTTTGATTTGTTATAAGATCTACTGAGAAACCAACCAACTTGGCTGTATAGTGTTCAATTAATGAGTGGTCGAGTGCACGAAGCAATTTAGCATAGTTATTAAAGAGGCTAGTGTCCGCAGGACTATGGAGAACGAGGTACAGGTTACAGGTATCATAGATATAATTGTTGATATTTTATCAACACAAATTTTTGGACATTTGTCGTAGTCTATGAGTTGTTACCATTAGCTGATATTGTTAATCATTTCTTATAATTTAGTAATCTTATTAAAATAATACAGTCTTATTCAGTTTCGCTTATTTGATAATTCGTTCGAGATCGTTTTGTACCGTAATTAAGGTAATTTTAGTAGCAGTAAAACTCATTGTGGAAGAGTTCATCGAGGGTAGTACTGCCACCTTACCTATTTCTGCCGCTAAGTAGTAATGTCTGCATTACTGTGTTCCAGTTTTGAAGGGTAAGGGTGCTGGTGAAATTACTGGCACATGGGATTTGTCAACTTATGTCTCAGGGCGGCGGGCGCAGTGGCAGTGCCACTCAGATCTTTGCGATTTAAAGCTCTGAGTGGCACTGTTATGGACATGCGTGTAGCTTACCATCGGGCGCACGACTCGTTCGTCCCGTCACTTAATATTATAAAAAAAAAATTTAATGTAAATTTGGGGCCCTACACTCGAAGTACGTTGCGGCCGTTTTTCTACAATGGATCACTTACGGAATTACTCGCGAAGACAACGAAAAGACGGACCCGTTCGAAACTGTCAAACGGTTCGTTCGAAATCGCGTTTTCATACATTCACAATTCTATCTTCGATCGAAACTCAAGTTTGTAGGCCATCCATAGTGGGAAAATAGCCGTAACTACGGCTTTCGTGCTTCGAGAGTATGGCCCTTGTTGTCATCTTCATCTAATGCTGCTATTAACACAGGGAGACTCTGATGTCACCATTCTGCCAACAACCGTAAATCATAAATGGTGTACAAAAAATCGTCGCATTCTTTCACCTTTGCCTCGTTCTCCTAGAATAGTTAGTGCAATAACAATCGATATTAAAAATTCATAGCTATAAGCAATTTTGACGTTTTAACGTGTACAATCCGAATAGACTGTATTGATTTCGATTTATTGTCACATATTGTATTGTTTCGATTTGAATGTTACTTCCTTTTGGATTTATATGTAAGTGTATCCCTGCAATACACGACTACCCTCCATCGGGGGATAGTTAAACAATAAATAAATAAAACTAACGAAAAATGGAGTTGTTAATTTTATACTTTGGTTTTTTTTGTTAGAAACATGCTTTGATTGTGTAACTTAATCCTCTTCTTATTAAAGTTACGTTTTTATTTTTGCCGATATTTTGCTGCCTAATGAAGGTATTTTAAATATCTACCAGACAATTATCACTGTTTTGTCCAAGAGATCCAATTCTATGGCAAAATAATAATTTGGACAATTACACTATTTATGTTAAACCATGTATAAACAGTGATTCTATTATTAAATTATTACAAGTTTTGGATTTTGAGCTTTCTTCTTTTCAGTCAATTAGTTACACAATCGAGCTTATAATTATTGTTTAAGCTGCCAGGATTAAAAGTGTAAGTGTACAAAGAAATATATGCATGGAATTTTAAGTTAATCTTATAATTTTTTATATTATTTGTTTACTAGAACTTATTTTTATATAGTTTTACCGATATAATTGTTAAGTTTATGTAGATTTTGTTTTGTTTTCAGGCACCAACACACATTTTTTTAACTTTACACAAAATTATTATTCTTACTGATAAAAGGTTTCTTTTGCATGAAAATTATGTTTGTAAACGGTACCTATAGGTACTTAGCCACGTTATTAGAGCAATATAATGAGCTTGAAGTTCTTTTTAGACAATTTTTACCGTAACTATTTGCTATTGAACCAAATTGCCAGGTCTAAAAATAGCATGGTTCGAAATGACAAGACTTTTTCTGTGATAATTATCGTACATATAATATATGATAATTATCCATGCTGATTCATCATAACTCTGTCCCCTTAATTTTTAACTAAAAATTACAAACAGTGAGAAAACTTACTTACTTACCCTAAATCTTTGGAAAACAATTTGTAGTTGTGACTTTTCTGAGATTTGAGATTTGAGACATTTGACACGTTTTGTTACTTCTCTAATACAAATACATGGCACGACATTGCTTATAAATATGAAGATAATTATCAAGGTTATCATGGTAATTATCAGTGATAATTGTCACTTCGAACCCTGAAAAATAGATAAATGTAATGATCATTTGTTCTGAAATATGAGATAATTTAATGATAATAAATTCTGTGTTCATAATGTAGAACAAACATGCGTACGTTACTTTAAAAGCATTAAAAAAGATATAGCACTTCTTCAGACCTGCCAATTTTGTTTTTGAAACAACCGCCTTTAATATCAATATTATTAGCAAGTTTTTTTCTATAAGGTTTAGACAAACATTTATAACATTAAGAAATGTATCAACAGGCGAAACGTCGCCCGAGGATGAGAACACGATATCATCGGCAAGCCTCTGCATGTCACCGAGTATAGAAAATCGAAGTTCTGCCAGTGCAGTGCCGTTGTGCGCTTCGACGCCGCTCCAGCGTTCGCTGACGAATGGACATGCTACACAAGATAAACAATGTGATTCCATCAATGGGAATATTAATGGTGAGAAAGTGTACCTTTACACGCTACATGGAAGACTTGTATTGGCGTGCTTATTACATTTGCACAAAAAAAGTTAGTTCAAAAGTATAGCCATTGCTTTTACGGCACAAGAAATAATGTCCACTTGCACTAAAAGTCTTAAATGGATGCTTAAATTAATAACACAGTCTTAAGAGTCAGTATAGATATGTAGTAATTTAAGACTTTTAGTGCAGATGGCTTTGGTTGATTCTAACAGTGAAAGTGTTGAATCAATCACTGGATAAAATATAATTAGTTAAATTTGAGTATATAGTAGTTAATACTGATTACTATACGGTGTGAAAACACAATTCCTAAAAATTTTCACGATAGAAAAAAAACACAACTTACCTCGAAAAAAAAAAGGAAAGAAAACCGCTGTATTCAATAGGTTATTTACATATACCAATGATTTTTTAAATATCAACTGACCTAAATAGTACACGTATACATAGGGCACACTATAAGTTTCCGGAACTGGCCACTTACATAAACAATATTTAAAAAGTAATTACATTTCAAAATGGAACTCTTTGGCTTTATAATAATGTTTGTTTCATCTGACTGTCACTTGTTTTTACATTGTGGCGTCATTTTAGAAATTGGTTGTCTACATCACCATGGATTTAACTCGTGAAAATTTTCGTAGTATGATTTTCTACGACTTTAAGTGTAATTTAACAGCTCAGCGGAGCTTCGCTCGGCTTCAAACTGCTTTTGGCGATGAAGCACCAGGCAAGACTATTTATAACTGGTTTGCAGATTTCAAACGCGGTCGTGTGAATCTCAGTGACGAATTTCGTCTGCGAACAAGAAAAATATCGACGCTGTGTGCGGTATGATCAAAACAGACAGGCATGTGACATACCATGAGATTCGGCATCTTTAGGCATAGGCATTAGTCAAATACAATCAATACTACACAAACATTTGGGTGTGAAAAAATCGTGCGATCCACCGAGAGCACAGTTTTTTCACACCCAAATGATTTGAATGAGGCTCAAAAAACGGATTACGGACGGGAAGCGTCACTTGGAGCAATGCCATGCTTACCAGATTCCATGAAGGGGCGTCAAATTTGATGTGGGACATAGTAACAGGTGACGAAACATGGATTTATAATCCCAAAACAAAACAGGAATCTAGCGTATGGGTCTTTCGAAATGAGTCGAAACCAACCAAAGTGGCGCGCGTGCAAAGTGCCTCTAAGCGGATGATTGCTTCTTTTTTTAATAATACTGGACACGTAGCTACTGTTGCTTTGGAGAATCGTTGTACCGTGAATAGTGATTGGTAAACGACCATTTGTTTGCCGGAAGTTATTGACAAACTCCGTAAAAATAACCGTAAACGCCGTATCATCTTGCACCACGATAATGCCAATTCTCACACGGCCAGAAAGACAAATGAATTTTTGAAGGAGATCAACGTTGACCTTATGAGCCATCCCGCGTACAGTCCCGACCTGGCATCTTGTGACTTTTATTTATTTCCAAAAGTTAAGAACCAGGTACGCGGTCAACGATTTTCATCACCTAAAGAGGCTGTCGAAGAGTTTGAAAAATATGCTTCAGAGTTTGTTACGGAGGAGTGGCATAAACGTTTTAACAAAATTGGTTCATTCGTATGAAATAGTGCATTAACGCTAACAGAGAATATTTTGAGACACAATAAATTCACTTCTGACCATTTACAGTATTTTTTTCTAATTAATTACGGAAACTTATAGCGCGCCTCACGTACTATACGATATACATTGTTCAAATGGCTTTAACTTCGTTTGTAAAAAAATGAATTCTGAAATACAGCCAGTGTCCCTGCCGCACGACTCAAGCAAAATGAACCGTATTAGTACGGAAAATAATTAATTCGAACAGAGGTACTATCGGTACATTGTATTTGCATTGCAAGCATTGGTTTAAGATGGACTTCAATTTAGTGCAAGTGGATATGGGATGGGAGCTAATGCTTATGCCTTCAAAAGCGCCAGAAAGCGTTTGTACAAATCTTTATATTCGTGTAATAACCCGGGTTTCAATGGCGGCACCATTACATCCGGGTTTATGGCTTCATTTTTGGTCGAAAAACGATTGCAGCAAATTTTTGATAATGTTTTTGCTCCGACTGTTGTATTATGTTTTGTATTATAACTTGGTAAAGAATCAAAAATAAGAGTTTAGTAAATGGAATTTGGGACAGCTCCGACTGTTGTGGCGGTCGAGCTGGGAGTGACCGTGGTACGAAAACAAAATGAGAAATTTAAATACATGTAAAATAAAAAAATGATAGGATACAAGAGGAGAGAGGCGATACAAAAAGATGAGATGACGGTGAAAGGAGGTCACACTGTCACAGTCTTTGATAAAGTCTTATGCCTCCTAGCCGGCAACGAATTTGCGGCAGCGAATTTGCAAATATCTTACCATACTAATATAATAAATATATATCGTCGATGGAATATCGTACCATATTCCATCAAGTGAATCGTCTTACTGTTTGCTGGTTAGAGTATCGTAAAAAAATAACACATAAATTTATGTCTCTTATATATTAGCGTTTAATTATTTTCGTTTTATAACGCTTTCTGTACTCCATATTCATAAGGTTGATTTTTTGTTTTGCAGTAAATATTGTGTCCGAGTCGACTAACAGCATGGATGTACTAAGCGGAGGCGAGAGCGACGCAGGCGATACGTTGAACAGAAGAAACAATAACAGGCAAGTTCTACGACATATTGGATTAAACGTGTTTTGGATTCTTCAAATTTTGTATTCGATCATTCTAGTACGTCTTCTCCAAAATATGGTATTATGTGCCTCCTACTGTAAGGGGAAAGGGTGTCAATCGTAATTGACGTTCACACTAAAACGTATATAAACAATACCCGTATGCTGGTTTGTTTTAATTTGTGCCTTGTTATGAATCATGTTTGTCTTGAATATGTTAGTCATATCAAAATATGACTACTAAAAGAGTTCTGTACTCATAGTTTTCTCTAGCTCAGTTATAGAACCAATATTTTTTTTTTTTGTAGAACGTGTACACTCATAGAGATATTTAGAAGACCGCTAAAAATATGATAACAATGTTCATATGAACCACTTGCCGCATATACCAGAACGTTTAATGTGTAAAGAGAGTAACTTCAATCGTCTTTTGTTTTCGATTACGTTCTGGTGTATGTGACCAGTATTTCAAAGTTTTAAACTAATTTCACTTTACATATAGACTGTTTAGATCAGGGATGCACAGACTTATTAAGACTAGGGGCTACTCGGGCAAATCATGAATTGATGGCGGGCCGTCAGAAGTATAGGTAATTAAAGACAATAAAGAATTGATAATAATGTATTAAAATTGAAATATAATTTATTAATTTGAAGCGTGGCACTGCATAGTGCTTACAATCTTTTTTATATTTGGCTCAAATTTTCTTGTATCAACACGTAAAACTGCTTCCAAACTTTCATTTGCAAGGCGGTTTCGATTTTTTGTTTTGTTATTATTTAGTATTGAAAAAGTTTGTTCACAAATATAGGTAGAACCAAATAAGCTGGCACATTTCAAAGCGTTTATGCGCAACTCTTTGTACATATTTTTATCAATGTAGTGGTAAAAGTTCAACAAGTCTCCTTCGTTGAATTTGTTGCGTAAATCTTGGTCGTTTTGAATGTCGATAATTTCTAACTGCATTAACTCTGGCGCATTTTCAACTGAAATCGTGAAAGGATTGCTGAATATGTCCAACAGAGGTTTCACTTTTTTAAAGTTCGAAAATCTGTCTTGAAAAGATTGAATCAAAATATGTAGCTTTTCTACATAACTGAAATTAATCGCAGTTTTGTTGAATTTTTCGACCATTTTCTTATAATTCGGAAAATGATTGTAATTTCCAGAATTCAGTTGCGATCTGAAAAGTGTCAGCTTGCATTGAAAGGATGATACATGAGCGTAGAGCTGGGATATCAGTTGATTTTTGCCTTGAAGCCGTGTGTTCAAGACATTCAAATGATTTGTAATGTCAACTAAAAAAGCCAAATCACACAACCAACCAGGATTTTTAAGTTCCGGGACATCCCTTTGCTTTTCCGCCAGAAATATTCCAATTTCTTCTATTAAATTTAGAAATCGTTCCAGTGTCAATCCACGACTTAGCCACCTTACTTCTGTATAAAACAGCAAATCTCCATATTCGCTTTCGATGTCATCAAGGAATTGTTTGAATTGCCTGTGATTGAGTCCTCGTGATTTTATGAAATTTACAGTCGAAACTACCACTTTCATGACATTTAGAAATTCAATTTTTTTTAGAACAGAGGGCTTCTTGGTGTATAATGCAGTGAAACTAAATGAGGTCTTCAGCGTTTATGTTTTTTTTTTGCAGACACTTTTTTAGCAAAGTAACTAGCCCGGAATTGACACCAATCATAGAAGGAGCACCGTCAGTCGCAACTCCCGATAATTTTGATAAGTCCAAACCAGTTTTTGAACACTTATCCAAAAGTACATTGCATATACGAGTATCAACTCCTTTGGTTTGACCTTTCAATGAACACATTCCTAATAACTCTTCTACGACTTCAAAATCTTGAGTAACACCTCGTATAAATATGAGTAGTTGAGCTGTGGAACTAATATCAGTGGATTCGTCGAGTGCTAATGAAAAAAATTCAATGATCTTAGTTTTTTCAGTTAATTGTTCCGCAATATTACCTGACAAAGACATAATTCGTCTTTGGCTTGTCATACGATTCAGTTGAATTTTCTCAAACTTTTTTGCTGCTTCTGGACACATTTTCTTAGCGGCAATTTCTATGCATACTTTTACAAAATCCCCATCATGGAAGGGGCGACTTCGCTTTGCTATCATTCGACAAATTTCATAACTAACTTCTGTAGCTGTTTCTGAATCTTGAATGGGTTTTGGAAACATAGCTTGCTGACCAATAAGCTCCCGTTTTAAAGACAACATTTTTTGCTTTCTTAATTCGCCTGTTAATTTGGTAATAGTAGAATGCTGCGTTTCATAGTGCCTTTTTACATTATATTCCTTTGCAATCGCAACAGAATTCTTGCAAATTAAACAAACGACTTTGTTATGCGACCATACAAAAAAGTATTTCTCAGTCCATATTTCTTGATTTTCATCTTTAGCCTTACGTTTTTTATTAACACTGCAACAGGAAATCTACGTTGAATTTGGATCAAAATATATGACACCGGCTAGTCGCATTAAAATCTACACTAGAACTATTGCCTTCCAAAAACACTATTAAATTGCTTCTTTCTGTTGACACTTCACTCAAATTAATACCGAACTGGCGGTCGCTGCGGTTAGCGTGGCTTTTATACCGCGCGTAGAGAGTCGAAAAATCTCGAAACCAACTCTGGAAGCTTCGTGTATCTACGCGAGCAATCGTATTAACACCAACAATATAACCCGTGGATAAGCCGCCACCGCGCTCTCAAGAAAACGAATTTAACCGAGATCAGCACGAACATTACCGACGCACGCACGGCGCACCGATAAGCGCACTTAATAGCGCGCGCGCGAAATTTAAATTACTTTTGGAACATATTTTTTTTGGTTTTATTCTGGATAGAATTCAATATTTTTCGAATGTACGAGAGTATTATTTTGCTGTCGGCGGGCCACCAGTATTTCACCGGCGGGCCGCGGTCTGTGCGTCCCTGGTTTAGATCATTATCATCAACCCATTTATATGTCCCATTGCTGCACGGGCACGGGTCTCCTTTCAGACAAGGGTTTAAGGCCATAGTCCGCCACGCTGGCCCAATACGGCTTGGGGACTTCACACGTTTTCCGAGGGTTGTGAACCTTCTTCAACGTGCAGGTTTCATCATGATGTTTTCCTTCACCGAAAAGCTCATGATAAATTTCAAATTAAATTTCGCACATAAATTCCGAGAAACTCAGAGGTGCGAGCCCGGATTCGAAACCACGACTGTTTGGATCATTTACTAGAAAATCGCCATTCACCACGCCAAATTATATACATACCACGTGAGTCAAAATTGTCCGACACCGATGTACTAATACTATAAGTCAATTTCCGAATGAAATATATGTATGGTACGCAGTATTACATCAACATTAACGGGCACGCTCCGCGAAAACGCGTCCGAACCCAGACGACGCGGCGGCACAGACATCACATACTTCGTTACAAAGGAGCTGCGCATGACCGAACGAACATACAAGCGGGACTTGGAACTGGTTACTGTGGTATGTCAGTTGTTTATCTTTGTCTATCCGACCTTGTTTGGTCATGGCGACCACTTCAATTATTATAATTCGTTTTTTTTAGAATCAAAAAAACGTAAACTAAGAAGCAGTGATCGCAAACCTTTTTCTTCAGTCAACAAATTACAGTAAAGGAAAACGTTGTGAGAATCGATAACACATGACATGTTAATTTACGCATTATTTTATAAAATTTTCCAGTGTAATGGTGGGTCACTCTGTATCTTTAAGTTTTTATAGTGCAAGTTTTTAAATAGATTAAGTATGTAAAGAGATTTTTTAATTTAATTTATAATAGTGAATACTACAAGTAAAGACGTCAAATGTGTTTTAGAATTTTGTTTCTCTGTATTTAATCATCTGAATAAAATGGCGACTGATAAAAGACCCAAAATTTCAATCTGTATAGTGATAAAAAAAAAACAAACTATGGCAAGTAGAAGCGGTCAATTACGCAGGATGTATTAACTTACTTTACTATATCGTTGTTTGTTTTTTAGTTGCTTTAGTTTTAATACCATTTTTATGGATATTAAAGATTGATTTGAATTTTTGTTATGAGTGTACGTCTTTAGGTTCATTTTCGATTGTCACTTTTACAGACGTGGTCAAATAGAGTGTCTCGAATGGACGCCCCCGGTACGGATGTGGTGCCAGCTTTAGCCCGTGCGTGTTTAGCTTTGGAACCATTGGCGCTGCCAGCGGGCGCACTGTTGGCCAAGCTGGAAAGGGTATTGGCCACACCTACTAGTGATGGTAGGTAGACGCAAAGCATTTCTTTTATCCGAAAAATAATAATCAGTACAGAGTACTAAAAAACCGACCTCAAAAGTCATTCATCCCCTAGTTTGCTACCCTTTAGAGGTGGAATATTTTCTTCAAATTTAAATGGGACCACTTCTGAGGTACCTTCTTTCCAACAAAAAAAGAATCATCAAAATTGGTTCACAAATCTCATAATATACATACAAAAAAAACATACAGTCGAATTGCGAACCTTCTCCTTTTTTGAATTCTGTTAAAAAATACTTTATTTGTCAAATTACGTAAATTATTTTATAATTTACGTAATTTGACGATAATTACGTAAGTTTGCAATGTAAAAAAGGTAAGGTTTGCATTATCCATCAAATAATGTTATTGTTATTTGTGAAATTGCGGAAAAAATATACCCAAGTAACAAGTTATTTGAAACGAAAAATCCTTTGCACCACCTTACAGAAAATGTTTAAAAGAATGTATTAATAAGAATTTATTTATAAATATCTCTCAATATTTCAAAGATCTGCCTATGATAGATAACCATTATGATCTTTTAATTAAGTCTATATGTGAAAAATATGTAAGCGTACGGATGCACTACATTGTAAATAAAGTTATCGGCAAGCAAGAAAAAGTTCGAAATATGTATACTAAGTTAATACCGTTCAAGGGCCAATAAAAAAGTAATGATTTGTCATAATTGTTTTATTTGGTTACTTAAACTCAACCAAGCTCAATACGGTCTGGCGGATTCTCCCTCCTGAGACTCGGCAGATTTCATCATTATCATGAACCCATTTATACGTCCCACTGCTGGGCACGGGTCTACTCTCAGGCGAGTGCTTAGGCGACAGTCCACCACACTGGCCCAATGAGGGTTGGGGGCTGGCACACGTTTTCCGAGGACTTTGAACCTTCTTCAACGTTTCATCACGATGTTTTCCTTCACCGAAAAGCTCATGATAAATTTCAAATAAAATTTCGCACATAAATTCCGAGAAACTCAGAGGTGCGAGCCCGGATTCGAACCCACGACCCTCTGCTTGAGAGGCAGCAGGTCAAACCATTAGGCTACCACGGCTTCATTTTCATTTCAATTTCTTTCAGCATTCGACTGGTTCGACTCCAGTCGGGTTGAAGGAATTTTTCTTAGTGTTTTACAAATAAATGTTGTTAGAGTTAAGAATGTCTTTTTTTCATTTTACAGATAAGGAAGAACCAGAGTACAAGAAAATAGCTGAAATTTTATACGATTTTCTGTGTAATACTTATGAGGTAAGATTCTACTACTATTATTTTTACATTTGATAAGAACTATTTGCCGAGTTATCACTGTTTCTACGTTTAGTGTATATCGATACCTCCAATTAACACTACGCCAACTTTATTTTTTGGTTATTTCCTGTTATTTTTGTGAACAGCCATATTTATTTACTAATATTAAGCTCCCCGAATTTTGTTAAAAAAAAAGAAACAAAAACAAAATAAAAACAGAACAGGTCCAAAAATTAAGTTGCCGCAGTGTTCATTGGAGGTATTGATATGTTTTAATACATTTACATTACATTTAGTGTATATTTTTGGTTTCTACCATAAGATAAAATCATTACCATCGGTGGTCGTTTTTGTGTCTAGTGTTGGTTTTTCGAGTTACAATTTTTTTTTTGTAGGCTTATGCAACGTACACGGAACGCGCGGGCACGCTTGTAGGCGTAGTGGAGAGCATACGACGACGGAGCGCGATTGCAGATAAGGAAGTGACTGCATTTGACACAGTTTCACCATTGCCGCTGGCGTGTTTACTGCTGCGGCCGCTTCATCGGCTGTTACATTTGGAACGGCTCGCTATCGGTACACATTTTATTAATTTTATTTGAAATTCGTAGATAAGAATTATTGCTAAAATTAAATTGCAATGGGTGGAGTACATTGCTCGGAAGACAGATATCCGATGGTGCTATGGAGGTTTCTTTTTTATAAAATCAAACTACGAGAGAACAATTCTGCGCTTGGTGGTAAGCGACACGCCTGTCCATAGCAGTTGTAGTACAATTCAGAGCTTTGAATCGCAAAGATCTTAGGGACCCTACGACTGCGCTTGTTACCCTGAGACATAAGTTGACACCGTCTCTTGTGCCTGTAATTTGACCTGCGAAAAAAACTGATACCTACGCTTTTGGTTTATACATGAAAATACATTATTAAACCTAAAGGAAATGACATGTTTGCCACTGATATCGAAAACAAAACTATGTATAGTTAGTTGACTGTGTTATAGTTTTGTTTAATCTAAAAAAAATCTGAGTTATATTTTTTTGCGCTGTTGCCCCCTTAATTTACTCATATTATCATTTCTCAATTGAAAATATTTTTCTAATCCAAAAGGTTTTAGTAGCTGTAGAGCTCCTTGTGAAACGGTTCATCCAGGGCAGTACTGCCACCTGACCTATTTCTGCCGCCAAGTAGTAATGTCAGCATAACTGTGTTCCGGTCTTGCAGGGTAAGAGTGCTGGTGAAATAACAGGCACATGAGACTTGTCAACTTACGTCTCAAGGTGATGGGGCGCAGTGGCAGTGCCCCTCAGATCTTTGCGATTTAAGGCTCTGAGTGGCACTGCAGAGCTTTAAATCGCAGTGCCTGTTGGCAAGCCAACATTATTACCAACATACACACGCCTTATTCATTATGATTTTTACTCGTAATATGGAGAAAAGAACCTGTTAATAAACGAAGCAGGAAAAAAGGTTTACGATCTATGAGAAGTCACTTTGACAGTGACAGTTTTTTGTTTACATTTTAGGACTTCGATTTCATCCCACAATATACTGAGTGAGTCAGTCATGTCGACCGTCTAAGACACTATTTTTATTTTAACAAAAAACTAGCGCTGAATGTCAGTTTATATTTCCAATAAAAATCCGACTATAGTATTGGGTATAGAACTAGTTCGTTGTTTCAGAGCTAGCCGACGCGTCGAATAGCACATCTGCGTTAAAGGCGCTGGACATCGCGCGGAGGTCAGCCCGCGACGCCAGCGAGCAACTACGACACGTTGAGAACCATGCAGCGCTTTGCCAATTTCAGAGGGATATTGTTGGTACGTAAATTACATACTAATTGTATAGGGTGGCCACAAATATGTATATAATAGCAATTAAGGAGTATAATCAATAAATAAATAAAGATTAGTTTATTGACATAGATCTGTTCAGTACCAGTACCAGCAATATATTTTTCTTAAATTACCTATCTCTCATTATTTCGTTTCCTGTGTTTAAGATGTGCGTGTTGTTGGTTGGGCTATATATGGTTAAATATTTTTTCTTTTTCTTTTCTGTTTTGGCATGTGTACCTGTGATTTCTCAATGTGTAAAATAATATTATGTTGTTATCCTGTAATAATATTATATGTTTGTTGTGTTTTAGTTTCTGCTGACTAAAACCGTTATAACCATTTAATAACTTTTTGTGCTATTTGTGGAGTTTTGTAATTAGCACTTTCTCGTGTTACTTAATTTATATTTATTGCTAAAAATTTGCTGTAAATCTTCCAAAAATAAAAAAATAATTGTTATTTTCAATTTCTACATACGTTTCTTAATTAAAGTAATTTAAACTCTCCAATTACGGCACGTCAGAAGTAAGGAGGCTTGGGCCGAAAAGTGCTTATTAATACGTAAAATAACAATTTTGTCAGCAGTCATGTTGTAATGCACGAGGCGCATGTTTCCGCTGCGAATACAAGTGGGTTGATCCGATGTTACAGGTGGTTGCATATCTCCTGATATACATAACATACTGACAAGATTTTTTTAATATCCGTTTCCGCACATATGCGGGCAAAAATATGTGTGTCTATAGTTTAATATAAGGAAATTAATAATAATAAAATCATTTATTAATCTCAACCATCAATAAATATAAGCTACTTTACGCAGAGTTTTGTAACAGACAACAGTGGTGGGCGATAAAAAGTCTCTAGCTAAAGCACAAAGGCGGAGTGTTTCTCAGCGCCGCTGATATTCTGCTACAGTCTATCATGTTAAAATACTAAGATTGATTATATTGTATTATATGATAATATTGGTTAAAATACTAAGGTGATTCCAATTCTAAGACATAAAATCATGAATTATTATATAGATGGGTGGATCAACTATTTTCTGTACTGAATCAACTTTTTGTGTGAAAAAAAAACAAATTCTGTTATTTTGCTCAATCTTCGCCTAATATTGCTAAATAATCTTCTGTAGTTTATAAATCTATAACGAGCATCGAACTTCGTTGAGTTTTTCCAGTAGTTTTGCCTTTATTTCAGAAATGATAATGACTTTATAACGTCTCCTACCTAACATATATAAGTTATGACAAAAAGTAAATAAAAACCAACTTTGTAATCAGTCACTGTACTTTAATATCAATAAGTATAGTAATGAATCAATATGACGCTATCATAACTAAAAAAAGAAAAACAGCCTCATTCTTTTAAAAATAGATCATATTGTGTCTCCGGAGTCACAGAGTAAAATGAACTGGAAAACTGTAATTATAACTCGGTTCCTAGAAACACAAAAAAGATGCATTTAATAACTACCGATGTAACTAAATGATGTAAATGTAACTACCGACCGTCATTCTTTAAGGTTGTTATGTACAAAACTTTGTTCTATAACTTTTTAGTTAAATTAAAATTGCACAAAAAATATCACAGAAAATGGGGACAATTTGTGAGCCCGAACACACAAGAAACACAACACGTAAAGTCGATTTGTTGGACAATTAAGCTTATAAAAAATATCTTAAAAATATAACAATCAGCAGCTGGTTCTATACCTAGAGTAATCGTAGAAAAAGAAACAGTAACCGAATTGAATCACACTTGGTGTTCTTTTATATTCGTCATATTTTACAAGGGACCTTTTTAATATTTTCCTTATATCGTCTTTGCCTCTCATATGCGATAGTGGCATGGTAACTGCAATAAATTAATTTTATGTAGTTAGGAAATGAAACTATTTTTCCGGATTTAAATCGCGTATATTTGTTTTTTCAAACAAACCGACGTTTCGGGCCCTTTACAGATTTAAACTTTTACGCGATTTAAATCCGGAAAAATAGTTTCATTTCCTATGTGTAACAATCGCGAAAACCTAAGAACTCGTTTATGTAGTTAGGTTATGTAATGCTATTATTAAAAAATCGTAAGCAAACTGGTTTAAATTTGTTTGTAAATAAAAAAGCAATTGCTTTAAGAATGTATAAAAAATGTATAATGATATGAATGATAATTTGGGCTTGAGACACGTTCATTTAACAGAAGCTGTAGCTTTCTACTAAAAAAAGTACTAAAAATATCTAAAGTTCGATTCAGTTTGAGAATATTTTTGAAATATCGGTATATAAACTAAAATTTCAAAAACACCATTAGAATTTCCGTTTGCTAAGTTTAGATTTTCATTTATGAATGGCTTTTTAGTTAATTATGTTTTGTATTTACTTATAACGGAATCTTTACTACTGAAAATCACTCGGGGTCACCAAAATTGTCTCTCGAGTCACAGTTTTCGTGACGTCAGTCAGGAGACAAACTACGATTTTTAATTAAAATTCAACTTCAATATCCAAATATGAAAATAAAATTTGTATAAAAAGTTATTTACTTTTCGTCGTCACTCCGGAGACACACAATAAATACACGCTGTCACTAGGTAAACAATGGGGACTTACCCCCAAGATAACACTATGGCTTTACACAACGGTGATTAGACCTGTGATTAGTTACGGCGCGATAGCCTGGTGGCCACGAACCAAGCTGACGACTGCAACTAACAAGCTGGACAAATTCCAAAGGCTAGCATGCATGGCGACGACCGGCTGCATGAGGACAACTCCAACTGCGGCGCTCGAAGCGATGCTGGACCTGCGACTGTGGATAGGATCCCGAAACAATACATTTTTGACAAAAAATACAGGATACAATTGTTTGAAGATCCCAACGAAGGACTAAACCTCAGTGAGGTCCGCGTATTCACTGACGGATCAAAAACAAACTCAGGAACAGGTACTGGGGTATTCTCAGAAGACCTCAATATCAGAATATCAACACCGCTTGGTGACCACAACACAGTATTCCAGGCTGAATGTATGGGTATCAAGTTGGCAGCAGAAGCAATAATAGCGAGAAGAGTAAAGAATCACTCCATTCGAATACTCTCCGACAGCATGTCAGTACTACAAGCACTGAGCAGCTACGACATTAACTCAGGGCTTATATATGAATGCCTTCAAGCACTCACGGAGGTATGTACACACAACCACGTAACTCTACAGTGGATTAAAGGACACAGCGGGTCACGTGGCAACGACGCAGCAGACGAACTAGCTAGAAAAGGGTCGGAGACGAATGCTGTAGGGCCGGAACCCATAGTGTCCCTCCCCTACCAATGGTCAAGAACAACTATACTCAAAGGTACAAAATCTTCTCATAACAACATATGGACAACCCTTACGGTTTGTAGACAGGCTAGGGAAGCACTCCCAACGCTCAACGCCAGTCTATCTCGTATATTAATCAAACTTGAAAGTCAAGAGCTGCGCACTCTATCTGCCGCTCTAACGGGTCATGGTCCATACAATAAACACCTTTTCAATTTAGGTATCACGGACAGTCCTCTATGCAGAGCGTGCATGGAGGGGGAGGAAACGGCCGCACACATCCTACTAGAGTGCTCCGGTGTGGCCAACTACAGGGCAAAGTACCTTGGAGTGCCGAGGTCGCTCCCCGAAATCTTCAGAAAACCGAAGAGTCTGCTGAGTAGGACCCTGCACCCACCACACGCAAAATAGGCGCCTCGACGTCGAGTTGCGGAAACTAGCCCGTTGCACCAATACCAATACCAATAATACACGCTGTCACGCTGCGAGTTACGGGCTAAATGGCCGAATCCATATAAACTTAAGGATTGGTAAAGCTCGATCATACGATTTGTAGATCCGTTTCCTATCGGCTTAGCTATAGACAGTCTATCTCACTTTCACTTAGTTGGTACTATCTTTGTTGTGACCCAGGCGACAATGCGCTTTGTTGTTAAAAAGGGGACAACTATTCAAACTGTGTTTTTTTTACTGAAAACTAAATCAAAGCTCTCGCAAATCAAGATTTAAAATACATGTATATTAATGCATGCACATTACCGATACTACATATACAGACAAGTGGAGGAAAAATCTTAGACAACATCGTCGTTTCATTGTGCTGTATGCCTTGGAGACAGGTGGAATTTGTATGACATCTATGTTTTGATTACTGGGTCAGGACATTTTTTAAATTAATTATTTTGGAATTTTAAACATTTTAATAAACAGTCGTAATTATAAACAATCTGATTCGATTATCAAGTTTCAAAACCGGCCTTTAAGTACACATTGTCCATTTTGTGATTTTTTAAAACAAGGACACTGTTTTACATTAAATAGTTGATCCACCCTGATATTAGCATTAAACACAGTATTATACACACAACTACACTACAATTTAAGAGTTAAAACTTTCACACTGAAAGTACGCAGTGTGAAAATATGAAGTGAGACAACTGCTGCCAGAGGAGAAAAAAAAACGAAAACGTTTTTAAGTAATTTAATTGCAGGTAAAAGTAATGGCTAATGACAATCGTTCGAAATGAAAAACAAAAGTGATTCACTGAAAAATAGATTGGTTATGTAACTGAAGAATAAAAATTAAAATGCATAAAATAATAATGCATTTGGTATGCCTTCACTCCCTATATTTGTTGATTTGCCACAACCCCTTATGGTGCAGTATCTAACTAATATAAAAGCACCATTGAGCACTAATGCCTAATCTCGAACGAACCAGGGAATTCCCTGTACTGTATGAGTGAGATTTCACTTTGAGGATTTCTCAGAATACTCACAACAGAACTAATTTAAAAAAGTTAATTTCCTATATTGGTTCTATCGGGAATCGAACCCGTGGGACCTCCTCGTCCTGCACCCACAGTATTAGCCACAGTATTACAGTATCTTCCTTACGATGTCTTCAAGTAATAATGAGCACTAGCACGGTACAGTTGATATAACGCTGCGTTTGTTTCAGGTTACGACAAGTTATTAGTTGCGGATCGTGAGTTCATAAGACTTGGCTGCGTTTACAAACATTCTACTAGAGGATTGCAACAGAGGATGCTCTTCTTGGTACGATTATGTGACTGTTTTATTGTAATATTCTAAGTTTTTGATCGAAATTAGTCGCTTTCAATTTCAACGAAACTAGTTGGCGTCTTTTATATCAGTACAATTTGTTTTTAATGTTAAATCCCCTGTTGACATAGTGTCTTTGCTTTTTTTTTAATATTGCCGTTCTTATTTTTATGGAATGTTGCTGTGTATTTGTACTTGGGTGTCAGGTTGCATTACTGTATAAGAATGTTTTTTTAATGTGTCTGATACTTGTAACTGTACCAATAAAATAAATAAAATAAATTTGTCAGTTCCACATCACTACCCGTCTGAGGCGAAATCGAAATAAATTATTTTAGAAATCTATGCAATGTGGTCATTGATGTGGCTCTCAAGCACTTGACGTAAAGATATGTCATTTTATTGACATCATTGTTGTTTATTGTTTTGTTGTGGCTGTCTTTTTAGTTGGGTATGTTAGGCATCCCTCCGCTATGAAGAGCGCCTACCTTGCACTCACCCCGTTCTGATAGAAAACATCCACAAGTTAAACATTAACAATATGAACTTATGGGCTAACTATGCTAGTGTCCTAATTGGTGCTGGATTATGGAATCAATGTTTGATGAGCTTGATTTGGCAATCGTGCCGGTTCGAGTTACGTTCTGCAGCATAGGCGCCTCGTGTTACTTGTGGATCTTTTCTATCAGAGTGGGATGACTGCAAGGTAGGCGATCTTCACAGCGGAGGGATGCCTAACAGGTAATAAAGAATGTTTCAATGAAATATGTAAATATACTTATTCATTTTGACGATTTTTTTTATATTGAAATATAAATAATTTATTTTGTTTCTTATGGTAAAGTTTAGCGACGTGTTGGTGCTGGCGTCGAAATCAGGCACTTCACAGTTTCGTGCGCACGCCGCGCTGCCGCTGCACACACTCGAAATCAAACCCACCGAATTGCCCCATTCCTTCACCATTACCGGTAAATAAGTCTAATTTTAACTTTCAAATCCCGTCTATGCGGTCTAGCATCACCGCGAAAAATCTTGTGCACAACAAGTACGTGTTTGTATGTATGTGCTTTTGTAGTCGGTTAAGTTTTCCTTTGCACAACATTACCTACGTAAGATTAATCGCTGAATATCATTAAGTGAGATCGTGGCCAGAGTGCGTCTATTTTCCATAAAAAGAAAAATTACTTGACGCTGAATCGTGTAGACGGGATGTTAGTCGCATTAAACCACTGCTACACTTTTAAGTAATATAATATAGTACATTCCTGCAAAGGTCGGGAAGTAAAGGATTACTGGACGAGTATGAGTTACCTTGTGTTAATACGAGTCAAGCAATCACCGTTCCGGCCGAGTCGTGTATAGTGCTTTCCTCAAACAATGCGAGGAAATAATAAAAGACTAAAGAGAGGAAGATGTATAATAAGTAAGGTAAAAAAATAATAATATTGAAAGTAATATTTGACATATTAATATAAACACAATCTCCGAAAACGAATTAGCATTTTTTTCGCTTCTTTATGGCATGAAAATTTAATATGTTTTCATGTATCTTACTTTGCTCATAGCGGGCAACAAGTTTTCCATGGCTATTATTGCCCCTTGTTTTAAATTAGGTGGAGTACAATCATTACTTTATTTTCGTTATTGCTCGTCTCGCTCTAACCATCAATCTGATCAACGGAAAACATTGCTCATTTTATTATTTTCACGACGGAAATACAAAAAAGACGAAAAAACAGAAGAGTACCAAAGCACTTTAGTTTATTTTACCGCCTTTTTCTTTTTTTTAAGTTAGCTGTATACGTAGGTATTTTTTATTTTCGCCATTACTAATACTAGGCAGTTGGTTGCATGTCTTATTCCTTTGCATATTTACATAGTTCATTGTTAGTAGATAGAGTTAAAAGTTTAGAAAAGTGGACAATGATGGATTTTTATACTTACTTTTCAGGACTTGGCCTGGAAGAAGTCGCACGGTCCATAGACAACAAACTTTCCGTGTTCGTTTTTTGAAAGTAACGGAAACATTTCCGAGCATGTTTGAGAAAATTAATATTTTTACTTAAAAATAGTAAATATTTTATCTTATACGTTATCTATAGATAGTGATTTGTCTCCGTGGCCGGACTGTTACCGTGCTGGTATGCCACACAGAGGTCCCTGGTTCGATCCCGGGCCTGGAGAAATATTTGTATGACCTACATTTAACTATCTCGTGCGTTTGGGTGTAATTGTGGTGTTCTATGTGTGTGTCCATGGTACTCGCGACACAGGGTTTCCCTAGTGCGGGGCTATTGGTACTTTGCGTTGTGTGTTGTGTTAGATAAAAACAAATTAAAACGTACTGTGATACTAACAATAATAAATAATAATAATAATAATTTTTATTTCTCCACAAACATGATAGTTACATAAATAGTGTAATAATCATCATATAACATCTACAAAATGACAAATTTCAGCAGAGAGGTTTGAAAATTCTACAAACGAAATTAGTCACTAACCTTTTTGTTCATGAATAGGAGAGCTACAAAATTTCACAGATACATAACTTGTTTTATGTAGTTCCTTCTATTTTTATGAATTTCTTGTGATAAAAGCATTTCACGACACTTAACGACCGTGATTCGTATCCTTATTAATTTATGTAAGAAATACTCATTTAAGGGTTGAACAGTCGCGAATGACTTTGACGATTTGACCTCTAAGCAGTAGTAACAATTTCATACGCCATTTATCGAGTACCCGCTTGTACTTACACAAAGTCACAACAGACATGTCATAAGTGTTTTTTTTTGCAATCTATACCTATCAATGTAGGTTGTTTCCCCAGAGACATTCGAGAATAAATTATCGTAAAAATATCTATAGAGTATCAGAGAAACTGAATCCAAACATAGGCATTTCTAGAAACCTAGAACTGACCCAAGTTCAAGAAGTTCATTTAAAAAAAAACTCTCCGGGAATCAAACCCGAGACCAAGGGCAACGGAATTCACTCCGCGGCACTACCCAGATCACCTAGGCCTTCTCTTCCAGAACACCTAAACCTTCTCATCCATATTAATTGCATGTACAATGTACAAATTCCACACTTCACCTTAGATTTATTTTTTATTTCGTCATATCTATATTGTCTAGTCTTTGGTAGTCTTTAAAAAAGATGCAATGTAAATATAACGAAATAACTAATTTATAAAATCTAAAATATAAAAACAAAGACCACAAGTGATTAAAAACAACAACTTTTTGTGGCATAAACCCGCTCAAAAACACGCGCCAAACCCCACCCCAAAGAGAATTTAAGCACTACGTTTAGTCCACCCGGCGCAAAGCCTGAAAGGCGACTGAGCGTCGTACTGCGCAGACCTCGCGAGTGGGAAGGAATTTTTTTTTTTAAATAATTACACCTAACTTATGAACTATATAAATTAAAAAAAAGTGAACAATACATTCTCTTTGAAATTAAATTATTAATTTTTTCGTGTAAATTTTATAAACAACGGATGGTTGCATGTAAAGAGAAATTACTTTTTGTTCAATTTGAAGGACGTAACTGTACATTTTATTTCGTAAAAAGAGTTTAATAAATTGTAGTTTTGCTCAATACATTCAATTATTTAAGGACTACTAGCAATCTTTTTTTTTTGTCACTATTGGACTATTAATATTATCAGGAATTTAATTTAAAAAGTGCCTAGTTCGTCAATCTGGCACCTGTTCCAGCCTTAATAGTATAATAATTCTAACAGGCGAAGACGTAAATCTTCTGCTAAGCGCAAGCAACGAGCAAGAGTTCGGCGGGTGGCTGCACGCGTTAGAGATGGCAGTAGAAAAGGCTTGCGAAAACCCCGTGCCAGTCGACACTGAACTCACGCCCTATGAACAAGACGCCGGTAAGTCCTGAAGGTCTACTCTTTTTCAACGAAAAACGAAATTTTGATGGAAGTTCCGCATGTTTCTTACTACAATTCCATTTCAATTCGAAATTTCGTTCGAACGAAAATTTTTTGACCTAAAAATCATACAATCACCCAAATATTTCAAGTAATTAGACTCATTTAAGTAGTTTATTCATAAGTCTTGTCGAATTTCGCTTTGGTTACTTTAGATTGCCTGTTTGTTAGTATATTTTCAAGATTGTTGATAACGATTATTTTGAGATAGTGTTGTTCTAGTAAGCAGACATATTATCGATATTCTGTTATTAAAACAATTCACTACGAGGTTTTTATTATTTCATTATTATTATTTTTAAAGTACCTACAAATGAAAAAAGAAAGAAAGAATAGTTAGAAATTATAGGACTGCCGAACATAAGCATTGGATCAAATATCACCTTCGTTTGTTCGCTCCATTTTGAAGTCAAATTTTAATAGAACTTGAATGTAACTAGATTACATGATAATGCAATTCCATCGTTACATTTATTGGTAACTTATTATTTAATTTTGTTTAAAATGGCTCATTACTTGCCTAGTAATAATAGCCTAGTATTAATCATACTTTGATTACAGTAAACTATACAAATTTGCAAACATAAAAAACAGTTTCTACATTCAAGCCATACATTTGAATGTCGATATTGACTTATCTATGATTATGGTACAACACTAAATCCGCCATTGTGGTGGACATTTTTGGTTTAGGTAGGTACGTTTATTCCGTAGATAGGGCAGCTCCTTTCCTTTAATTTTTTCCATCCTCTAAGTAAATAACAACGAAATTCTTGGGCCCAACCAAAAGAGAATTAAAGTAAAGTTATTGACGAAACTTCGTTTAAATATCGTTCGTTAAGTAAAGTTTCATTTTCAAAAAAGAGAGTATACCCCCAGGTCTATAAGCCTTGTTTGTAACCAAACTTGTTTTAACGATTGTTTGAATCTTTTTGGACTTCTTTAAACTTTCACTTCTTAAAATGTAATTTACTACTAATAGTATTTGCGATGTTGTTGACAGAATTTTAAGATTACAGCTGTAAAATTTTTATATGCCGTTTAAAGTAAACTCTGTCGTTTTCTTATGGCACCTAATTACAGCATTCTTTGTATTTGTTTGCATTTACGAGTATTTCACTTTGCACATAGGCCTTTGCTCGCAGTTATTAAAAAAACTTCTACGTGTTACATATACGGACATATCGACCCCTCCGACGTTAAGTATCGTATGTCGAAATTGCCAAGTTTACAGGGAAGCGTTTTAAAGTTCTGAATTCACTGAAACGAACATAACACGTGACTTTAGCATTTCTCAGTTTTATTCGGCAAAGCTCTTTACTCACACAGAGTATTATAACGTCGGTTAAAAGGTAAAACTCATTAAGTGACATTTTGTTCAAAAACTAGATTTTTTCAATTTTGCTTTATTGGGAAGAACATCTATGACAAGAAAAATTCAGTAAGTCTGTGGTGTCCTTCATGTTTTAATACATACCAGTCCTTTAGTGATTTTTTATAATGAAAAAATACAAAATCTTAATTATCTCCCTTTGGCCAATTAGGCTATTAGTGAGTTTTACCTTTTAACCGACGATAAGATCCTAGATATCGGTTAGATGATCTATGGTGATCACTCTTTCAGTGAATTCAGAACTTGAAAACGCTCCTCTGTAAACTTGGCAATTTCGTCATACGATACTTTACGTATATTTATATTTGTATTGCAGGAATGTCCTCAAGTTCGCATAGTTTGAGTAGCGGCAATACAAGCGGCGGAGCTCTTACTCACGTATGCTGGCATCGGGTCACTTCGCTCTCCAGAGACCATCTGCACCTCGCAATGAGAGTGAGTTTTTTTAATGGCCAAATAATAGTAATAATAAGTTATGAATTTATCACTATGCAATTGTCGCAATGTATTTTTTTTATAAAGGCCCATTTAGATGGAAAGAGTTTATCGCACGCTTTGTGACGAAAAATCGTACGCGATTATCGTAAGCAATAATCGCCATAAGATTATCGTGTCATAATGTTTACATTCAGGCAAGAACTAAAATCTCGCCTACGATTATGTCATACGAGATTCGCAAGCAACTTAATCGCCTCCTCGACTGTTTACACAGAGAAATATGTAGTAAGGAGATTCTTGCTTACGAGTTTTCGACTTGTCTAAACACGATCTCGTATGACATTTTTTCAAGTTCATACGATTATCGTACAAATCGGTTCGAACCGTTTTGAATGCGAGAATCGCCTATCGAGTGCAGTGATTACTGCGGTATTGAACAAATTTGGAACTGCTGATAATATTAAGTTCATTGCATTGTAGAGAAGTATACATTTTTTAATTTTTTTTTTCAAATTTTATAACACTTAATCCAAAATTTTTTTTCGTTCTCGTTTCATTAATTCTTGTCTTAGAAAAGCAGTGATAATCAAAACACCCTCGCGCACTGCACTCGTGGTAGAAACGGCTGGCACAGAAACTCGAAATACGATTTTTGCTGTCGCGTTCTGTTTACACGGAGACGTTCAATATTGAAAGGCGAGGCGATTATCGCTCACGTGGACGGTCGATGATCGCGAATGTTTAGACGAGGAAAGTTTTTTATATTCTTTCGATAATCGTATCTTCGAGACGATAAACTCTCTCCATCTAATCCTTTAATTAAATCCTTTATTATTATAGAGTGGTTTTACGCTCTATGGTCGTGACCATTACTCACTATCACTCCGTGGAGTGGCAACTTAAACAAAAACATATTCAGCTACGTTTCTTTGTAGTCGTTGATTGCCCTCTTTTTTTGGCGGCGTTACCGTTGTCACTGAAAGTTGAAGTTAAAATGTATTTTGTATCGTTTTTGTATGCGTTAAACACCAGATTGCGAGCACTATCACCACATACTATCAAAATTTCCTATGTTACAGACGCAGCTATCAGGCTACCTGCTACGCAAGTTCAAGAACTCACATGGCTGGCAGAAACTGTGGGTTGTGTTCGCCGCGTTCACCCTATTCTTTTATAAGAGCTGGCAGGACGAGAACCCTCTTGCATCGTTGCCTTTGTTAGGGTGCGTATCTTCAGTTAATCCTTTGATTTAAATAAATTTTAATTACTAGAACTGATACTGGTTTCATGGTGAGTTGATTGAATACAGAGAAATTTTAATTGCTTGGACAGCTATTTGGGTTCATTGAGAGTCGATTGATTACAAACAAATCTATGCTTTACCCGATAGCAAGTAAAAGCAGTCTACTTTTCCTTTGCCTTATTGTTGATTTTAACAATTATTACAAACTATAAGGCTGGTTTTAGAGTAGTGCGGATTTATCTGCGGACCGGCTAGCGTAGAGCACCGGAGCGGAGTAACTCGTCTGGCGTTAGAATGTCGTTTTACAGTGACGCGGATTGCTCCGTACGGAACTCCACGTGAACTCCGCACAACCCACTTGTGAGTTCACTGTAGGTAACTGTCTGTGTGATGCGTGATGCGGTGAATATCCGCACTAAAATTTTATATGCAATATCAGTTTTGCGCTAATAGCCCCATTGTTAAAACAGGTTACTTATTATCAATCAATCTTAGTATAAGTTTGGAGAAAAAAGTCATTGATTTTGTTGTCTCAAGTTAACATTTCAAAAGCAGCTAAATGGTTTTCTGTTTTTAGATACAACGTGGGCCCACCTGCGGAAATCGATGCTATCCACAAGGACTTTGTCTTCAAACTGCAATTCAAAAATCACATATACTTTTTTAGAGCAGACAGCCATTTTACATACGACAGGTATGTATTACACCTAAACTATTACGGAAACTACTGTCTGAATCTTACGGTGACATCTATTTGGTACTTTTTAAAAATTATGGTAATTGTAACGTTTTTATAGAAAAAACACCGACCTCAAAAGTTCGTTGAATTACATCTATTTGCCAAGTTTTATAGAAAACAGTTTTCGGAAAGTGCGCGAAACCGGATTCATCCTCTAGTTTGCCACCCTTAATGGTGGAATATTGTCTTCAAATTTAAACGGGACCAACCTGAGGTACCCCCTTTCCGACAAATAAAGAATCATCAAAATCGGTTCACAAATGCCGCCGGAGTTATCGCGTAACATACCAAAAAAATACGGTCGAAAAAAATAACCACCTCCTTTTCTTTTTGAAGTCGGTTAAAAAAAATAAACGAAAATGATCAGAGAAATAGTATGGGGTACTTTTTTCTATAGTAAGTGCGTATTAATGATTTATTTGTTCTACAGGTGGATAGAAGTCCTGCGAACATCGATGGTGCAACACAACTGAAACTCGTAACACACGTTGTGATAAAAGATCGTGAACGGGTGAATGGGTTACTCTCAAAATATACCACATCGGTGCCATGAAGATATTGAAAACTTAAATTATATATTTTTTTGAAAAATTTACACAGAAACAAAAATAATGAACGAAGCAATATAATCTTGCCTTATTATTAAAACATTGGTTGTCAGACTTTTGTCTATCTCATAATTGAGAATTTATTAATACGTCGTCGTGGATGGTGCTTTAAGGTGGACTTTTGAGTACCTCATCATTGGCCGCAGTGACGCCGCGGCTTATTGTACTCTACGGAAATGTACAGATCATTTGAACTTAGCCGCGTCAGTGATATGTATTCCTATAGTGCATAATGCGGAGTACTCAAAAAGCTGTCTTGAGCATAGCTCTACACCTGCTAAAAATTAGATCTCATGATTTCGAAGCTGTCATCGCAATCAAAGGTCGCTATAGGGCTGTCGAGTTGTTCTATACAGGGTGACAGGTTGAACGAGATAAATATTAAGATTATTAAATATAAAGAGGCGAATGAAATGAAATTGCTGATACCCACACCGAATATGTAAAAGAAAACACTGCCTTATTTTCAAATATTTTTCTCTAAGTAAAAAACTGCGTTAACATTTTGTAATACTCTGCGCGAGATACCGCGTCAATAGAACATGTAGCGAGTGTCCTGCAAGGTCAAATCAAATCCTTAGGGCGCATTTATTCGACACAAATTTCATCGTGCGGAGACCACATTGCTGCCGCGCAGCGACCGCGTGCGTCGAACTGTCATGGCAAAGTACGCTCTATTTGTTTAGCTTTTACGTTTTGACTTAAATGAGCATTTCATGCGCGCGGGCGAGGTTGGCTTGTCTTGGACTACGCGGCGGCCGGGCGGAGGCCGCGCGGTTGTATTATTCAGAGGAATTTAAATGTTGTTGCGTAGTAAATAGAATTCAGATTCGTCATTGATGTACGTGAAAGCGTGGTAACTGGGCGGTTGACGCGCGGCGGCCCCGCGAAGACTGTGCGCGTGATCAACGGCAGCGACGCACGGGCGGAACAAGGGTGGCGGGGAGCGGCCCGACAAGCCCCGACATCCGACAAATGTGAACATCGTCATACTTAATAACGGGCTTTTATGTTTAGGGGCGATTTTTTACATATCGTCTCTTGGCAAACAACACCGCTTAAATAATTTGAAGTAATTTGAAAGGAGCGTGAAAAACCTACATTTGTGTAAAATATTTTTTTACCTAATTAATTAAGCAATTTTTAATAAATTAATAATAATTTAATTAATTGGTTCATTTTGAACTATTACTAATAATAGGTAAAAAAATTATAAAAGTCTATACATACAATAATATATTTTAGATTAGAAACAAGCCACTCGTTTGCCTCTTTAAATATTTATCTCGTTCAACCTGTCACCGTGTAGAACAGAAACTGATCTCTGAACGTGCAGTTGTAGCGCTACACAAATTCTTTGTACAGGCGTTTAAATTGTCAAGTTTAATTGTTCATATATTATATTATTCATATATTTATAATTCAAATTGACTACACCATTGCGTAGAGAGGTATATAAATAGTTTTCATTTATTTATTTTATTAAGTTACAATTCAGCTTGACAATTTTTGTGCTCTGACAAAAGCACCATCCTGGACATTAAATAGATAGATTAGTACTTTATATCGTGCCTTGGGATGTCGTGGGACCTATTTACTAGACTTTTTAATTATAAGTGTATTTATTTAGATTTTGTGATAAATTAAGATATTTTATTGAATACCTGTTTCAATATTATGTTATTAAGAAATAGTGACGTCACAGTTTAGGTTAAGTTTTAAAGCAATCGACCTTTGTAAAAGGTATAATAAGACAAAATATATCCTTGATCTTAACTGAATTGTAGAAAAATGTATTTAGGATACTGGCCTGGATAAATTAGGCCTTGTCCAGTGTGATATTTTCTATTTATCTCACTACGCGAAAACAGGGACGCCTCCATTGGTTTCGTGTATTTTATAAGTATCATGCTAAGTAAGTTACAATGTTTCTTAACTCTTAACTTGCGGAAGTTAATTGGCCGTCCTAAAGAACCGGAAATAGGTCCGTCTCAGATCCGCGACTTCCGCAAAGGAAGATTATACAAATTGACGGAACACAATATACATTAATTCGCAGCAAAGGAATATTATTTGCACATTATCCTCAGGTGACAGTGTTGCTGTTTTTTACGTTTGTCGCGAAGTTCTGAGTCAATATTTCGTCCTTGTTTAATATTCTACTTTACTTCTTTTCAATGACTACGTGCCCAAATAGATACGCGATGAAGTATCAATTTATAAAACAATTCTAAAATACCATTAAAAAGTGAATTAAAATAAAACCTAAGAATTAAGCGAAAGTGTAGCAAAAGTAACGAAATTGTATTTTCGGATAGAATAATATATCCATACAAAAGACTAGTTCCCGTATAAAACTGTTTATGTTAAAGGAAACGTTTACGTGTTGCATACTTTTATAATTAAAATAATTCCAACATTTAATTGGCTGTGTCAATCAATATTAAGATTTGAATTTGCTGAATGAATGAGAGATTTTTGGTTATACAACTGTATGGGTAGTTTTTACTAATTTCGGTGACAATTTTTATTATTTGAATATTCTAGAATATTACCATGAAATATTGTTTAACATTCGGGTGTAATATCCTGAAATATTATTTAATATTTGACGAATTCTTAAACTATAATAATTGCCACCGAAATGAGGTAGAGAAAACGAACCTAAAAAATTACGTAATGAAAAGCTACGTAACAGATAATTACGATTTCATAATACGCCTCGTAATGTTTGTTTATACGTGATTATTTAGTTTTTGTTGTATCATTATGCGACTGTCGTAATGAAAAATGAAAATTACAAAACTATATATATAATAATAGTAGTGATGTATAGTAGTTCAATACGTAGTTTTTTTAGATCATTTATGTATTTCACTATCCAGAGTGTTTTTTTAAATGGGACAGTATGGGGAAATCTGAAGCCATAGAATATACAAGGAAACTGTCTTGGGAAGTCTTTTTTGTGAAAATAATTCTAGGGCTGCCAAACTAAGGCACATAAGTCAAAAATTCACAATTTTCAGGTACAACAAAAAACTGATTGTAACAAAAAGTTTTGTGTACTTATTTATTTTCTTCGGTTTATGGGGGGGTACTGAATGAATACTAACATGCACTTACATGACATTTAATATATATAACAAAAAGCTATTTTAGTGCCTTATGTGAATAAGAACACTATTATACCTATGACTTAAGTGTATACGAACAATAAATTTTAGTGATTATTATATTGAGTGGCACACAAAAACTACTAAAAACAACCTAACCTTAATTAATTTCTTCTGCATATTCAAATGCCCAAATCAATCTCACTATCTATAATATCGGGGTCGATATTACGTAAGTCATTTGCAGTGGGTAAATCCATATAAAATTTATGAAAAATGTCAGGTATTCATGGGAGTAAGTAAATCAAGTCATCTTTTTTTTCTTTGGATATCTTTTTTCGAGCCATTAAAATTGTCGCCCATCCATGACTTTATTTTTTTAATACTAATGGACCCTTCAGCAATGAAGAAAAGTCCAAAAATTCGGTATTACGCATTTCGACTACTTCAATTTTTTTACTGCACGATTTTATCAGTTGTATCATTTCAGTCATGCGGGTGATACATTTGTAAATTTGTTTTTTTCTTTTCTATGATCCCGTGATCAGTATCTACTTCCAAATGGCTATGACCCGGTACCATAAACTTGTGCTCGATAAGTTCTAAATTAATATTTTGCAAAGCCCAGGTAAACATTGAACTCACATGAGAATTCCTGTTCTGGCCCCATGTCGGAACAAAATATTACACGTTGTGTTCTCAGGCAGTGTCCTTCTCCTTTGAACGGCTTTGTCGTAGATCTCCATTAATGAAGCCATATAAGTTGACCTTTTGAGATACGTCCCCATTTGCCAATATTCTTTGAAAATAACCTCTATCTTGCAATGATATGCGCTCCTTGCATTTCATTGGACATGTAAGCTTTTTCATTTTTCTACTGGCAATTACTTTTCCTTTTAGAGTTTTATAAGCCTGACCTTTGTTGCGTTTTACTTTCTTTTCGTGTTTCCTGACGCGAACGCTTTTTTTCGGAGATGTGGTAAGCGGTGTGATGGGGCTTCGGGAAGGATTTTCATGCGTGGGTTCATCACTTGAAGTTGACGAAACTGGTGCGTTATCTGGGAGCACATTATGTGGACCCTGCATAGAATCGTCACTTGAAAATTCAAGTTCTTAGGTAACAGATATATTACCAGTATAGCCTGATGATATGGAAGGCATTAAGAGGCTGGTCTTTCGTTTCGCCTAAAAAAATAACATGTGCTTATTTGACCCCAGAATTTTGGCATTAAAAAAGTCAATTTTATTAATTTTGATTGAAAAATAATATTATTAAAAACTTCTGCTGTCCCTATTTTTTTTCATCTAATACAATGAAATGATCCTTCCATGAAACTAAGTCGATCAGTACTAAAAAAAAAATATCAATTTTATTCATTTTTATGGACAAACCACGACTTGACTATGCCAAAATTGTTTTCATAAAATAAAGACTTAATGGTTCCTTAGAAAGTTTCCTTGTATCTTCTATGGTGTCGGATTTCCCCATACTCTCCCATTAAAAAAACCCTATATCAATATTATTGTGTTTTATAAAAAATAATGCTTTAATCGTAAGCCGCATGATTTCGGCAAGCAGCTGAAATGCGTATAATGCATTGTGCGGTACCTATAATGTGAGCATGAACTATGTCAACAAGTGTGTTGTTGTACGTGTAGACGGCTAGAGTGTGTAGGAGCGAGATGTTTAAAGCCGGGTACTCGATGTCGGTTTTCTCTATATCATACACAAAAACATCTGAATACATTTCATTTCTATTCTTACGTCGTTGTTCTTACGTATTTTGTTACGTAAACATACTATTGTTAAAGTAAGTTTAAACGACGTAGATGTGTTAATTAAATTTTTATTGAATTGATATTCAATTATTTTTTGTGAAATTACTCCACTAGTTTGTTATAATTATTAATACAAAGATCGAACACTCAGAAAAAAATCCTTCGATCGGGTCGGATTCGAACCGACGTCTTACGTCGACGTAGATGTGTTTTGTGACGGTTGGCGTGCTACTCCAGGGAGTTTTCTACAAATATTCTGTACCCACACGGGACAAATGTATGGAAGTAGATTTCTTTCGTGTATGGAAAGCAAATATATTCTTATTCCTTCATAATATTTGAAATAAGTATTGTAAATGAAAATGTATTATTTACTATAAAGAGCAACACATAGAGTTTCTTACTTAATTCTTCTCAAAAGAATCTGCTTTATGAATGAGTTTAATCAATGTAACTAAGTCCAGTGTAATAATTTTCTTACTTTTGAAATAAAGATTTTTTTTGAGATGTTTTTGTGTAGGGCTGGAGCTGGAATATATCATACTTGTACTCGGTTGAGATAGTCTGCCTAAAGATGCTGGATGCCACGTCGTACTCATGTCGTACCTAGGAATACCGCGGTGTGTTTAAGAACACCGGCGTAATTGCTGTCAGTGTGCGATTACATGTAGGGATGCAGAAGGATTCTCTGCCGAACCGTCCCGAAAGTGGGCGTGAGACGTTAATATGTCGAATCAATTGATAGGATTACCGATCGGACGTGCAGGAAATACTCAAAAGCAAGTGCCCGATACATTAGGGGCAAGCCAGTTGTAACCGTTGATATACCCGCTGGATGGTTGCTCTTTTCAATATTCTTTAAATCTCTATGTGTGAACGTGTGTTGTTTTTATCACAAATATCAACATCAAGTGCTATAATTTCCAAAGTTATTATAGTTATTTATTTTGTATACAAATCGAGAATTTACAAATTATCCACAATATTATTTTTAAAATATTTGGAACTAAAATGTATAAATGAAAAACATAATAAATGTATTTAAATTGAATATAATGTTTTATTATAATATTCCTAAAAAGTAAATAGAACTAGAAAAAAGATTTTTATAAATATTTTGGCTTCGGTTTAACATTAAGATCGGTTCAAATATTTTATCTAAAATTTATAATGATATGACTAAAAATAAATATAAACAGTTGCTTT